TATGACTAGTAGGTCGATCTTACTGAGCCTAAATTTTTAATTTACTAATCTTGAACTCTTAAGTTCTGAAGTCACTCTTTAGCATCGTGATAAAGCGGTCGATGATGCAATATGGACGTTATATTGCGCCACCGTCTATTTTGTTATAAATAATATTAATAAAAAAAAAATAATAATTAAAGAGTACACAAAGAAAATCATACTTCTCATATAAACTTTTAGATTTTCACATTGATTGGTTTAATTATATAAAAATTGGTTTATTCCTAAATCTAATACTTTTTAATTAATATTATTTATAACTCCTATATCTTGCGACTCCGTTCGCATGAATCAATGTATGCGCTATGTTATGATATAACCTTTTTGTGTACCAAATTTCTTTTAAATCCATTTAGTAGTTTTTGTATGAAAGAGTAATATTCATTCACCCATATTTCATCACAAACTTTGACATTTATAATATTGAATAGAATAAAATATTATGTGCATTTTTAATTATTTATTCACAACATATTCGTTGCGTGAAATATTTTTATTTGCACTATCGAACACTGAATTGGAATTCCAGGTGAATGAACAGAGGAGGAATTTGTTTAAAAGTTGGGTACTATTGTTCCACTCATTTTTTCTGTTGTGAAGCAGTTGTGCTTGCATGGCTGGGTTAGGGTTTAAAGGGTGGGCGATAGAGCAGCAAAACTACAGAGTACTGAGGCGTAATAAAACAGACCTCAGGAATGGCAATGTATGAAAGGCATTGTGTGTGTTACATTGTCATACATTGTGTTGCATAAAAAGTTATATTCATCACTCAAAATAAAATTATATTAATATAAAATTTTATTATGTTGATTTAAATGTCAAGATATAGCGATGTGTGCATGATATGTACTCAACGATAAATGTATGTACTTAATAATAATTTCATTATGTTAATAACATTACAAATAAATAAATAGCTGTATCTGTGTACCGAGGCCACTATTATAATCGTTATATCAATATTTTAGCATAATTATTAGGTAGATAAGTGCAAGTTTTTTTTTAATGGATGGTACTGGAATGGTAATCCTACCTACGCTAACGATATGCGCTGACAGGGCACCAGTGGGGGATGATAGGTGAGAATGAAATGGTAGGTCAGTTAACCCATCGTAGGGTATATTGCTAGCAATGGGACTGGTAGTTCGCATTACTAACAATCCATTTCCCCAACGTAAGTGCATGTTTTGATGATGTAAGATGTAGGTACTTACTTTTCTATGACTAGTCTTTACCTATGATTGTCCGTGTGATTGGGGTATATTAACCGGGATAAACAATTGCGTTTTTTTTACTTTTAAATAGTATGTGTATGTCAAATAAACTAACGATCGAATGAGTCATTAAAACGTCATAACCATGACCATTTTATAATATTAGTATAATTATACTACATCTTTATTTTATGTAAATTAAATGTAGATCGCATCGCTGCATGGTCTAATAATAATGCTCTTGTTCTTAATCCTTTAAAATAAAAAAATAAAAACCTTGAGTACAAAGGTACATTAATTACCAGAGGGAAATGTGCGTACAAATTTACAAATGTGTTTCAACAATAAACCATACCCATAGGGGTAGCAGACATCATATAGAGATGTCATTTATATTATTATCCTATATTGTAATATGGACACCGACTGTGACCTTTCTATTTATAATTTAGTTGTGAGCGACAACTTCCGGGCGCTATCTCTCGTAGACCCTGTTGCTATGTGCACCGAGTTGTACTTATTGATGCCCTCTCTTGTTATTTATTATATGAGTACATATAGACTTATGAAAACGTTAGAAACTATTATTATATTTATATTAAAAATATATAATATATTATTTTGTGACTTAGTTTTTAACGTTATCTACAAAAAGTAGCAAGCAAGTTCATATGATTTAAAGTACTTATTTTTTTTTATCGATGAAAGTGGAATGGTAAACCCGCCTACGCCATCGTTATTGCTAGTAAAGCACCAGTGAAAGATGACAGATGTGGAATCTACAACAATTAACCACAATGGTGTCTAGAAGGATTGCGGGGAGGTCGACCTGATATATTGCTAACAATGGGGCTGTTAGATCCCATTACTAACAAATTCCTTTCCTTCTGGATAGAAAGTATTATCTGACTGTAGATAACAAAATACTAATTTTTAACCACTCCTTTACCTGCGTGATTGGTGTACCTATATTGATTAAATGAGATAGAAAAAATTGCTTTTCTGAGTCAGACGTATATAATTGGTAAGTAGAGCATTTAAGACGTCAAGTGGTAACAAATAAGAAAATTTATTTCTCATTTATAATAATGTAAGAACGAAGAGTATTGAAAGCATCGTGTTCTGTTTATCCTTAAGGCGTTTCATTCCTATTTGATCTTAGGACATATGGGGGTAGCTTTATCTTTATCTCCCCGTTACTCGCTAAGAATTATCGCGATGACAAAGAGTACTTAATTGTGCAGAGTTGTTTCAGTTAACAAAAATGCTCGGAAATTAATTATCTATTGAACTGAATGTAAGCGAAAACTTTTCATAGCTTTTACAAATAAAGAAAAAAAATTACATGTTTGTAGTCAATAGGTATTATGTACCGTCCAGGAGGAATTTCATACCAAAATTATAGCTAAATTTAGCATCAAATGATACAGACTAAAGAAAAATGTATCAGCTATAATTTCGTCTAATAATTCGATAGACAGTTTTCTATCGAAGTTGGTGAAATATTAATTTTTAGAAAATAAAATACACTTTTTCTTTATTAAATTTATATAACTTATAATTTAAATAAATTAATTTCACACACACGTAGATTGTAGCATAAGGATTGAATTTTAATTTTACGTTGAACGTTAATGTATATATTTTTTTATTTTGTATTAGCCTAATTTCCGAATAACGTTTCAAAAATGATCTACGGTGGGATATGATCTTCCTTAAACAAGATCACGAAGATCGTAGAATGTAAAATTATAAAGATTTTTTCATGATAAATCCTTGCAGATCCGGAGGAGAGTTATGAATTCCAAAGGTTTTCGCCTATATCTTTTGCTTTCGACAAAATGATTTATAGCATTATTGGTGTGTCACAAGTTACAATGTCAATGATACCACCACTAATCATCAGCAGGTCTGTTCTCTATCTGTAAAATAATATTTTGTAAATTAAAATAAATAAATATGATCACGATAATGAATGTTAATGGGGTAGATAAAGGCAATTATCAATTGTTGCCATTATGGTAAATGTAGCAGGAAACACACCCACATATTAGAATCCAACGTACTACTACCATGTAGTGAGTTTGCTGTCACCGAATTTGGTTCATTATTGATATTTCCCATCCAGATTTAGTTGAAAACTGGAATCGATACAAAGTTTTTGGAGTCGGGCAAGATTCAGACTCACGATCTTTGCGGTCTATAAGTTAGAGTAGTACATCACTAGGTCTCGAAGCTTTCACTTTTGAGTAATTATAGATTCAATCACGATAAATTATGATCTATATTAGGTACAAATCTATATAACTTTTGCCCTACACATCTAGTTATGTAGACGTATAACTAGATGAATATTATTAAAGAGTCACACAAGGGCAGACATCTCACTGAAAGGCCCTTTAGTAAGAACGTTTTAGTAAGTAATAACGTTTTACTCATAAAAGATATGAAACAAGAAATATTTTGAATGTTTTAATGCACAATGTACTCCTTTGTGATGATAAAATTCCAAACTTCATATCTTGCTTACTTGTAATTATCTATTTTCCTATTATTATTGTCAAATTGAGAGATTAACAATAGGACGAGAGATAGAACATAGTTCTTTCATAAGATGAAAATGAAATGGCAACCTTATCCGCGCTACTCCATGCGATCCTACTTGAAAGCTATCTTGGTTAATTTCTAGTAAATCCGTTAAGATTCGCCACGCCCTGTGTGTTTTGTAGTGTGTTTTCATAAACGCCCTGCGTCATCTCTTACGGCCAGTAATCGGTCGTCCCTCGAACTGGAGACCGGTAGACAGCAGAGGTCGCCAGTTCGGAGGCCGACCACATACTCATTTTTGGTGCAGTATCCGGCCGTAATGCTCCTCAAATATTGCATCTAAATTGCGTCCACCATGTACCCTCTTGTATAGGCATTCTGTCACCCGTATCCAATAGCGAGGACGGGATGCCTTAAATATTGCACCGCAAACCATAAAAAAAAAACTGATTTGCTTTTATCCTCACCTATCATCTCTTACTGGAGCCCTCCAGTGCATACCGATAACCTAAGTAGGGATATTATTTCACTATCATCCATATTAAAAAACACAGGAGGTGTGTGTGATTCATTGATATATTAATAAATAATTGTTGATCTTTATGCTTCAACCATTTGCTATGAAGCAAATTTTTAATACACGTTATACTCTGTACATAAGCCAATAATTAAGGATTATGTCCCACTAAAAAAACGACTTCAATTGTGACAAAACTAGTTATTTTGATTTAAAAACTAAACTACTAAACTGATTTTGATAAAATTTCAATGAGACTAATGTTTATGCACATCCTTTCAGATAAAAAAAGAATTTTTCAAATTGGTTTAGAACTGACAGAGTTATGAGGTAACAAACATTAAAAAAACCCACACTTTTTGATGTCGGTTTAAAATTGATATGAATGGTCTATTATAAATCGACCAATCGTTGTCCCTACCTTATCACTCGTAAAAGTGATAGATTTGTTTGAAAAATGCTCATTAAAATGTATATTAACACTAATTGATCATTTCATTTTTTAAATATTTACTAAGCAATATTTATAGTTTCGATAGAATCTCAACTCTAATTTGACGAAAAATAGAAACCAATAAATCAGAACAAATCCCTTATCTTATTGCTATGACAATGTTTTGTAAACGTCCTTATCGATATAAACAAGTTTTAAGTAATTCCGTACTCTGGACTATACGGGGTTTATTTTTAGAGGCGCACTCCAGGGAATGTCCCATTTAGCAGGTATCTGCCAAACAGAACAATCATTTAGTGGTGCTTCTAACATGATCTCACGAAGTATCCAGTTTCTATGCTGTGTACGTTAATATTTTTATTTATTTATTAACAATATGATTTGTGCCTTTTTAATAATTTTGTTATTTTTTGTGTAATGTGTATAAAATATAATTAAAAATGCAGTAAATATAAAACTGACTTATTTAAATCTGTGAAATTTATTAAATTTGTTACAGACTTGTTGATTTTTTTTATTAATTAAATTTATAACGCACTTTTCAATGTAAACTCTATAACATTTATTTTGAGAAAAGAAAAATATGTTTAAAAAAATTATATTGCATTTTTTATGGATAAAAACACTGTAAAAAATGTAAATGCAAACTTTTTTCATGTGAACTGGTATATGTGATTATAGTAGCATTAAATAGGCATATATAGTCAGACAATGAAATGAAATTCCGAATTTTCGTACTCAATTTCGTGTTTTTGTTTATAAATTAATCCAGTAAATGGGGCTTAACATTTCATTCGTCATAAATTCTACCATAAAAGTCCAAATAAAAAATATTTAACTTGTTCAGCTAGTTTTAATATAAAATTTATGTTTTGTTTGGCCTTGAAGTCTTAGAAAATATTTTACGGCAGGCGCTTATGTTATCTGATTATGATTATATTGCGGGTTACTAGTTTAAATATGCATTAATTTAATAAAACCTAAAATTACTACTGAACAAACAACCGTTAGTTGGAGCTAAATAATAGTTAATTTAATTTCTTTAGAGCACATTTATAATTACTTATTTTAAATGTGAAGTTAAATTATATTTCTTTTTTCTTAGTATAATTAAAAACTAATTATATTAACATTTTGTTACAGATTTGCATTATTTTGTTACTATACAGAAATGTCGTACACGCAGAAGAAGTTCAAACCTACAAAATTACTGACACGGTTTCTTTCTGCAGCAGTAAGCTTTCAGTGATGATAAGTAAACTATGCGATAACCAATACAAAATTGTGAAGAGAGATACATCAATTTTAATCGGTAAGTTATTTTTGTCTTGATAGTTATTAGATTAATTAATTAGTACATTTTTATATTTTAGAACTTAATTTTGTGATCTAATAACGTTACTAGTTATTAATGGTATTTAAAAAGTTTAATTTTTGTATTTAGTATAAATTTATTGTTGTAATTATGGGTTGTTCTGGAAATAAATGTTTATTATTCTATTCTAATTAATTTTAGTTTATTTTAGTTATTAATTTTAATTAGTTTATTTCGATTATATGTGCGTGAACTGATAGGAATATTAAAAAAAAATTAGCCTTTACCAGTGTCTTCTTAAAAGAGTGTATAATATTAAATATTAAAATATGGGTATTATAGTATGGGTATAATAGGGTGGTTATTAGTAGAAGTTTTGCCAGTAGTGCTACGCTTATCAGGCGGGTTGTTAACCGAAGTTAGGCTTTAGTGGTATTTTAAGATTGATGTTGTTACGTACCCCTCGACCATTAAGTTCCCTTAGTCGTCTCTTCCAAAACCTAAGGAAAAATGGATGGTCCATTTTATGCTGGAATCACACGGCAAAAAAGATTAGATTTTTTGAAAAAAAAAATTAAACTCGGACGAAACTACGTCTGTAGGGTTAGTTGGTAATAAGATTTTTCATTGTAGTCAACATTTTAATACTTTTCTCGATTTTTAGGTAAATTATCACCACGAAGATTGGAAGAGCAAGAATTTGCTAAAGAGCGGTGGCGGCGCTTGCGTCGACAAGTGGCTAACGAATGCTGCAATCAACCTTGTTCGTTGGAAAATCTCATTATGTACTGCTCGGAAGACGCAAAGGTGCTGAGAGAAAATCCTGATTTGTTCGAAATTAATTAATCGAAATATTATCTAATAGAGTATTATTAATTATACATATTAAAATAAGTTCAAATAAATAATACTTTTATAATTAACATTAACAATTTTATTATATTCTGTCCCTCTTTATTAAGAAAGTAGGTATTCTATTTTTCTATCCTATATTTTTCTGTACAAAGTCGCCACTGACCTTTAGAATCAATTTGAAATCTCATGTTCTGCAGTGGACAAAGAATAGCTGAAATGAAATAAATAGCCATTATGATGATAGTGAAAAATGAAAATTAATAATAGCTTTAATAAATTACTGTACTTGTGGAATAAATTTTTGATGTATAATAATATATCAAAACCAAAAATATTGGGTAGTAATCCATCTGAGGATTATATTTACTTATGTCTGAGCACCACAAATTGAGGTGCTACTTTGTAAGATGTGTTATTTTCTGTGATTAATCATTTGTAAGCCACATGCTATTGTTATTAAATTAGGTACCTAATTTATTAATCATTTCTAAATTAGGTATCAACTGATATAAAGTTAATATAAACTAAGTTCTTCAAATTCGACAATCGAAAAGGGTATACCTATACTCGTAATACATGAGTATGTTATAGTACGTCACATTATTATACATTCTCGATTGATTTTAAACTGATTGTAATTAATAAATACCTCGTGGAATTACAGTAATTACAAGAGAAAGTCGTCTCAATATTGACACTTAGTAAGTTTATGATTAATATAATTCAGTATCAAAAATCGAAGTACTATTTTTTATTAAAATGTTTGCAGCGAATTTTTTTTATGCAACTTAAAATGGCAAACAAGCTGACGGCCCACCTGATGGAAAGTGGTAACCGTTGCCTATAGACATGAGCAGTACTGTGGGTTTAACAGAGTGTACTGTTTCGCCCATGATACCTTCCATGCGTTATCATTCCTGAGGAATAAGGTGTTATTCCTCTGTTACCTGTAAATTCACTGCCTTACTCACCCTTCAAACCGAAACACGGCCAAAGCAAATATAACTGCTTTACAGTAGAAACACGAATGGGACAGAGATGCATAAGCAAACGACTTTTGTACAAAGTCTCCCTCTGGTAAGCTCTTTTTTGTAAGCACTTAAAAGTACAGAATAACAATAATTAAGATTTCAAAGTTTTCAACGTTTTTTACATATCATTTGAGATGCGGTTTATTCATATGGCTCGCATAGAATATTTGTTGTCACCATAAATTAATGTCAAAAACCATTCATTAAGTTGTTTTCATGGAATCAGACGAGATGAAAATAAAGGTGTGAGTATATTGTATTATGCTAATTGTGCCCCGCAACATTTCCTCCGTGAATTAAGATAAAACGTATTCTATATCTTAATCTGGGATTGCGCGGTTTAAATTAATTTTTATATAAATTTTATTATTCAGTTTTTTATTTAATAATATCGAGTAATTAACAATATTATTAATTTACCTATCCTTACGCATTTGTTACCTCTGGGCATCTTAGTAGTTCAACAAGTCGTTATGTAGATATTGTGTAAATGTGTAAGTACCTAAATACTTGTAAATAATTCATATATTTTTCTTTTCATGGCTCTCCAATATAAACAAAATATTATAGTTTAAGAGAATTCTATGAATTGCAAATAAAAACAAATAGAGCACTTTTACGAATATTGGAGAAACGCTTTCTTAAGTACCATGATTTAACCCTATATGGATCAGAATACTATATAAGGGTGAGTTTACGTAGAATTTATCCATATTCACATTCATTCTTTACTTAGATCTGATATAAGTGTCATCTTAGGTAAGGTGGTTTAATCTTCTAAATAACATTTTATAGATAAATAAAAAAGTCCACGTGTAAAATTAATTAATATTAATTTGAATATTTATCAAGTTTAAAATTAAAGTGAGTTTCAGCATGAAGTTGGCAATTTTATCTTGTCTTGCTGCTTTGGTATTTAACGTAGTAGCAGATGAAGAAAAAGTGAATTTATGTGGACCAGAGCTAGCCAGAGCAAGGGTTTTGCTATGCTTTGGAGCCGAATATGTTCTCAAGAGGAGTTCATCTCCGTCGTTTGAACGTTAGTAATTTTTTTATACTACAAAGCTGGAAAACAAGCATACAGCCCGTCTGATGGTAAACAGTCACTGTAGCCTATGAACGCCTGCAAAACGGTCTTTCATCGTGCGTTTTTCAAGGCACTTTCTTCCACGCACAACCATTCTTTGGAATCAACTTCCAGCAGCAGTATTTCCGAACCGATACGACAACATAACCTTCAAGAAAAGAGTATATTCCTTTTTAAAAGGTCAGCAACACACCTGCAATGCCGCTGGTATTGTGGGTGATCATGGGCGGCGGTAGTCACTTACCATCAGGTGAGCCGCATGCTCGTTTGCCCCCTGTGTTGTAAAAAAGACACTAGGGGTATTACGTGCGCGTTGCCAACCCTGAAGAAACTTTTGAATAACACCATATTTCATTTAAATAACCATCACACAGTAATTTTATTATATAAGATAAGTTTCCTTTTATCATGTATCTATTGCTAGACAGAATATTTTTCTCTGTTGAAAAAAAAGACAGAATAATCACTCTTTGAAAACAAATTTAACACCGTTATCGAAAACTGTAATACTTTTGTGATAGAAATTACTTTTGTATTATTTATTACATCATCATAATTTCAGCCATTGACTGTCCACTGTTAAACATAAGCCTTTCCCGTAAGGGGAGAGTTTGCCAGTAGTTGCCACGCTTGGCAGGCGGGTTGTTAACCTCAGTTAGGCTTTTAGAGATTTTTTAAGAGAGACGCTGCTGCCCAGCCCTTTATCATTAAGTTCCTTTAGTCACCTATTTTAACACGCACAGGAAAGAAAGGGGTAGTCCATTCTATGCTGAGACCATACCGCTATATATTACATAGCGACAATAAATATACTATACTTACTTTAAAGTAGTTATGTGCTGAAGTATATGTAAGATATTTATGTTTACCTGTACAATAAGATATGTATGACGGACAAATTAGTCTTCATTGAGTTTTAAGACAAAACACAATTATTAGAATTACATACAATACATGTATTGTATAAAATTGTAAATATTCTGAAATTCAATTACTACCTTGATAAATTTCGTACAATCAAAATGCAAGACAACATCAATACTGTTTATACATATTGTGTTCACTACAATGATAATGTAAATATAAACACTTGCAGTAAAAGAGTACGACGATCCAAAATCTGATGAACCGGCGTGGTTATGGAGCGGCAGGCATGGCGTCCACGCCGTACGGTGGGCCAAAACCAAGCGCGGCCTAGTCGACGACTGCTGCCTCAATCCTTGTACAACAGATGTCATACTTAGTTACTGTTAAACTGTAATGTCTCAGTAATGAAGCTGTGTCTTTTATTGAGGGCTATGATTATCATAAATTGTAAATGTAACATATTATTAGAACAATTAAGATGCTATGTTTAATAGTGCTTTAACCTGCTTTTAAGCTATGTACTAAAAACACAAATATATTTTTTATTTGACTTGAGTGTAAAGCATGTAAGAAAATAATTATGACTTCCACAATTAAACGTTATTCACAAAAAGTTATTTCAATTTAATTATTAAAATTGGGATGACTTGTCTTAACAATACAGAACAATAGGTATCTATCTATTAACCTTGTCTCTTATACGTAGACAATCCGATTCAATTTTATTACATTGTTTTATTTAATTTATTTTTTATGTAATGTTTATCACCACATTATCCCCTATAATCTATGCATTACTTTTAAGATCTTAGACAAACATAATATTGGTATGTTTCTTTGATATGTGTGTCGTTTTCACTATTGTACATTTTTTTAACTATCTTTAACTATAATTTAATTTAATCATATTCTAATTATTTTTAAAGTAATAATGAAAAATGTAATATCAGTATTCAATTATAATTGTAAGCCTCATTCAATATTTATTTGATAGTGTCATTACATTCATCTATCGTTTAAATTTATAATAACTTGTATATTATTAATATTTTATATTGAATGTTCATCAAGAAAACAAAATGTCTTAATGTAGTAAATGAATAAAATATTACAAACATTATTACCAATTAAATAGATTCTTTAAAGTAACATTTATTCATTCTAGGATAGTGTTATGTCAAATGCTATGTGTAAAAATAAAAAAATAAATTCAATTTATAATTGTATTTTATTTTAGAGGAAGGAAAATTAATAAGAATACTGGATAATAACGACGTAAAATTTTTGTGGCACTGTAGTAGTGGTAGTAGCCACGTTGCTTTACTTAATAGAATTTAATAGAGGTCCATGGTTCAATTCTTGATCGGGTCAATTTAGAAAATTCAGTGTTGGCTCGGGTTTGTATATTCTGGAGTTATGTATGCAGTATGGTTATTTTATAATAAATGTGGATGTTAATGCATGACAAGTAATTTAGATGATAAATAGTAAATCTCTGAAAATAGAAGGTGGTATACCACATTACGCTCACTCCAAGGAGAAATGTATTGTCGTCTATAGACATGAATTATGGGTATCATAGAATACAGTGTCGTCCATGGTATCCTAGTAGCGTTATCATCTCGAATACTCAGGTATTGTTTTTATAAATAGCTACCTAGTAATTTATTTATCATACAAGCACATCTGTTTAATTAAAGTTGGCTGAAACTCGAGTCAGAATCAGGGCATAAAATAATTTTATTGTTAAATCGAATAATGTGTATTTTAATCAAATGGCCATTAATTCAAGATTTGATTTAATCGTCATATATTCGAAAGTGTGAAATTTAAAGTTTGACGAGTTACAACGACACGTTACATTAAAGCGACGAATCGAACAATATTTATTTTAATCACATAGTGATTAATTGAAGATACGATTTCAACGTGAATGGAGAACATCGTACTTATGTCACATACCTGTAAGTGTGAAGATTTTACCAAGTTCGGCGAGTACAGCAAATTTTTACTGTCAGGTGGGTCATATGCTATCTTAGTGGTATAAAAGAAGCTGTCATATTGTAAGGCTGGTTCGTATTTACATTAATTATAATGCAGATATTTAGGTTTGTGTGATTAGAGAGAAGTGTGGACTGAAAGACGATGTAGTGACAAAAATCGAAAAAGGAATGTTGCGTTGGTTTGATCATTTGGAGAGGATGGATGAAATAAGAATTACGAAAGATATTTATCGAGCAAGAATGAATGGAGATGTCGGTAGAGGCCGCCCTAGAAGGACGTATGTTGACCAAATAGGGAGAGAAGGGCCAAATTAAAAGTACCCGTAACCGGCGAGCGTGTATGAAAAGATTGATGAATGTGGAAGAAGCGAAAGAGGTTTGTTTGAATCGAAGCATTTGGCGTTCCATTGTTTCTGCCTACCCTAATGGGAGACAGGCGTGACAGATATGTATGTATGTATATTTAGGTTTGGTATCGATTCTAACAAATAAATATTTTTTTTTATAGTCTGATCTATAGAGATGCCTAATCTGAAAATGTTATGCAAACATCTGAAATTTTTTCTACAACTTTATCATCTTCAACATTTTTTTCGTTACATTGGAAACTTCATGGGTTTTTACCAACTTACTTACCTATACACCTATTTTACCTATATACCTATATATTCAAGCGTACTTATCACTAAGTATTTATAGACAATTAAAATTTTAGTTCGGTGTTCAGAATTAGGTATAAATTTATTGATATTTGGCCGAATTTTAATTAGGAACGTTATATTAACAATATTCTTGATATTATTCGACGTTGTCTAAATTTTAGTTATATTATTCAAAACTATTCTATATTCTAGGTATTTACATTTAAAATACAAAAGAGACCTACTATCTGTTAAAATTATAATAAATAATCTGTTGGTATAACAATAAGTTAATTATGTTTGTATTGAAATCTTATCTGTGTTCAAATATTGTATTGCTGTTGTTTGTCCTAAATAAATAAAAATAAAATATCTAAATTGAATGTTTGTAGCTACAGCTGTCTCGCCTCGTATTATGTTATCTGTGCCTCGACGATGATAAATGAATCCGGACGTACTCTTGTACAATAATATTAAATTTACTCTTCCGTGTCTATATTGTATGTACACTAACTTTTGTCTGCGGCTTCGTATGCGTAGCGTAGCGTAGCGTATTAGAAGCAGGTAATTATTGGATTCTATATTTTCTATGAAAATTAATATTTTCTCATGGTAAAAAGTAGCCCATAACTTTCTTTGGCCTTCTGGAAATCTCTCAACAAAAAATCACGTGTAATGTACAAGTACTTTTCTTACGTAAGAAAAAAAAATTATGAAATAGATCATGGATGATGACGTATCAAAATAATACTTACACTAGATGATGAGTTCGACCTTCAAAAATTTAATTGTTATAATTGCATTGCATTTGGTGCAATAATTATTGCGTGAAGCCGGAACAAATGTGTGGAGATAGATACTAAAAATTATTATTTTGGCTTCCGTTGCCTTTGTTGACACATCTCATACAAATTTTTCCTAAATATCTTCTATGTGCAGAAACCGTCTAGTTATAATTTAATTATATGTAGACGTGTAGATATAAACAAACATATATATAATATATAACGTGTAGATATAGTACAGGTATTTTCATCTGGTGTTGTTCATGTCCTTTTGTGTTCCAAGCATTTGTAAGCGTGATCGTAATCACAGCTTATTTACCTTCTCACGTCGCAGAAATTTGCATGCTGATCAGGTACCACTCACGCGGGCACCGAGTCTGTTCAATGAGATAAATTGTTCACAACTTGTTTCATATACGGCCAGAGTTTCGCAGAGCGGTAACAAATTATGTGGAATCAAAGTATTAAATTATTGAACTACAAGATTATTAGATTTATATTATTTGTTATACGAGTACATTTATTATTTATCAACTTTTAAAAAAGAAGAGATTGTCAATTTACTTTTATTTTTTTTTGTGTATATATTATGTGGCATCTTTTATATATATATATATATATATATATATATATATATATATATATATATATATATATATATATGTGTGTAAAAAAGTCGTTACTTAAAGTTTAAATATTTACACGATATTATTGAAAAATAGGCTGCTTTGTCGTGAAGTAAGGATTCAATGGGTAAAGGCGTTGGGTACATTATAGTACTGAATATAAAGTAAAGATATCGTGAGTGAGGCAAATAAGCGAGGGATATAATGGAACAACCCGGGCAAACCGACCTGACTAAACAGTGTGGGCTCACCATTGTGTTCAACCACCTGAAAATTTATAAAATATTTACAGACTCTAAATATAATTATCTATAAGTAATTATATAAATATTATTTATATTTGGGATGTAAGCACCGTACTCACCTTGAAAAAGACTTCCAAATAAAGTTAAAATAATTGACCGAATCGATAAACATTAATTAACTCATTAAAATCCAGTTAATCAATTACACGTAAACATAAATATTATTATAAAAAAATTCTGATTCATCATTGACTTGCCGTGTCTATGTTAATGTAAACACAAAGATTAATTTATAAGCCGTGACTAAGGGTGGAATGGAATGTTTTTTTTTATTGGATGAAAATGGAATTGTAACCCCGCCTGCGCTAACGGGATACGCTGGCGGGGCACTAGTGAAGGGTGATCGATGAGAATGAAAACAGGCCAGTTAGCCCATCATGATGAATTCATTAGGAAGGAATCATGATAGTTTCCAGAGGGAACCACGAGCAGGTCGACCTGGTTGGGTATATTGCTAGCAATGGGATTCTCAGTCTCCATTATTAACAATCCCTTTCCCCCCGGAATGGAATGTTAGAATAGTTATTAGGGGCTCCTATGAAATATATTGTCACTCCTTTATTCATAAACATTTATACTTTTTATACACCTATTTTAATTATTAGGCTGAATTCATATTATGATACCGGTTTCGGTTCATTGTCGGTCCGATCTTGATCTAGTAAATTTTTTTTTCTTAAATATTTTTTATATTACCAAAAATTTAAAAAAATACATGTGTATACCTATCATTATGTAGTACCGTTGGTACAGATATAGTTGTTCTTTTTTCCGCGAATTTTAATTTATATTTTTAGTTTCTGGTAATATATTTTTTGTTCTAGGAAATGAAAACATATTTTTCAGACCCTATTGATGTAAACTAATACCAGTTTTAAAGAATGGGTTATGTTAATTAATATATTGTATATATGGGGATCAAAATTTCTTGTTGTTCTTCGATCCATGTTTTTATAAAAATATTTAGTTTTAATAGTAGAATCGATGCTAATAATTTAAATTGAATCAAACAATGGTATTTTGCACTGTAACTGGAAATGTTTTAGATAAAACTTCATAACTTTTTTTATTGTATCCGATATTGCTACCAGCAGATATTGAGTGGGTCGAGTGGGCCTACTACATAAGCAATATTGGCCTCGGCGTTTTCTCTATGTACAAAACTCTACGAAATTCCCGACCAAAATGTTTCTATTGAAATTTACCAGGCTCCCTTTCATACAGGTATTTCCACTATTGAATGTAGCTCTTTGTAATATTATAGCTGTAGCCAGCATTCGTTTTTGGACCATTGTGTAATTACCCGATTGTTGAAGAATTGAAGGAAATGTTTTTCATGTGTGTGTTGTTGGTATATATTACGTAATAATTGAACTAAGTTTTTTAAAGTACTCTGATACCAAACTAACATGTTTTATTGGCATTAATACACAACATTTCGACGATGTACTAAGACATTCTAATTCACTATCAAAGTACTTTTTAAACAATAATTCAGAAATATGGGAAAGTTTTTTTTTCGAAAAGGGTGTATAAAGGTTTCTTCAGGATCGTCAACGCACATGTGACACGCATAGTGTTGCTAGCGTCCATGGGTTACGTATGGAAACAAGCCACGTTTATAGTACAAAAAAGTGAAGATAAATAAATATGAATGCTGTTAATAAAATTTTAGGAATAGGTCCTGAATAACGTTATTTTTACACACACTCACTTCTTTGTCTTTTATATATATATATATATATATATATATATATATATATATATATATATATATATATATATATATATATATATATATATATATATATATATATATATATATATAAAAGACAAAGAAATGATATCAATACTGGTTTGACGGTTTATTCAGAATTAAAAAAAAATAGGTTTTTATATGTTTTCTTTATTACATGTACATAATTCTATCTTACAAGTTACATATCGTATATGAAACAACAAATATAATCGGATATTAAAGATGCTATCTCATCTAAGGTTTATTTATAAACAGATCATGTTAAATATAAATATGTATCAATAAATTGGATTATTAAAAGATATTACGATATAGATGGGTACTCATTACAAGTTAGTACTTCTGACATAGTTATTTATTTATTTATTTATATGCTTTTGTACAGTTACTTATAGAAATTATGTTATAAAAAAATGCACACAGGCGGACTTATAAAGCATTCCCTTAAAGGGATTTTTTCCAGTCGACTTTGAGATTAAATTAGTCTAGTTATTCAAGGTATGTAGAATAAATTTTTTGATAATAACTTTAATGACATAGTAAATTTATTAAAAATATATTATGCGAAGACTGCTCCTTAAAAGTTTCCTGTAAAAAAATATTTAAGAATATTTTAATTTTACAGTTGAAAAATAAAGTCCGAAGTAAACCTACTTCAACTAAAATGATATTCTTCAAAATACTTGTACTTTTATTTAAAATAAATTATTTCTTCGGTTCATAAAATATTTTAGGAATCCTTCATTTATCATTATTATATTTACTGTCCACTGCTACATAAGCTTTCCCCTATTATTGGCTTAGCCAATAATTGCCACGCTTGGCAGGCAGTTTGGCAACCGCAGTTAGGCTTTAATGATATTTTAATAGGGACGCTGCTGTCCATCCTTCGACCATTAAGTCGTAAGAAGTGACTAAGGGAAAGATGTGTATTGATACCTAATTCCAAAATTTTCGACACGAGCTTCGTGAGTATTATGTTCATGGATGACAGAAATGGAATAATAGACTGGAAGTACTTTATTTGTTGATATTAACGACAAGTTTTGTTTTGTTCGATTCCAAAATTTCGGAAAAAATATGGTATAAGTTGTAAAAGTTTGAAGCCCAAAAGATTTTGGAGCATAATAAGAAATTTGAAGCAAATATTTCCTTGATTGATTGGACTAAAATAAAATGTAATAATTTTTTATTATAAATACATTGTTTTAATCTTTTAGGTTCAGTGCATATTATTATGGTTTAGCGGATCTATTTATGGATATTTAGTTGTACTCCAATCGGTTAGGGAACGCCACTAGTACACATAGTAATAACACTGCATTATAATTGTAATAATACTTTATTTATCATTAAATATTTAATGTTAAAACCCTTTAAACTATATTTATGTTAGTTTTACTCATGTTTGAAATTCGGGGGTGCTATGAGTGAGTGAAGCCGACATGAATAAATAATTACAATACAGAATGACTCATGATAATTATTTTTCAATATATTAATAATTTATATTACATATTTTTTTTTTCAATACAAAAGCATTAAGAGTGATAGTGATGAGATTATGTAATGATATGACTATTTTACACAAGCATCAAACTATCAGTCAAGTTTTCTAATGTCCTTAATGTATGATTAATTTTGACACAAATCTAGCTGGAGTTTTTCCAACAGTGTCTATAATATTTTTGTAACAAATCACTCCATCACTGGCACCAATATTTCACATCACTCATATCACACTCACTAAATTGCACTTTTGTCTATGGTATGCCATAAATGATAGAGTAGTACAAATAGTCCACATGCAGAAAGAGGCCTTTGGCGCCGCCGACCATAAATACCAGTGATCTTGATTGTTTTCTGGTCATGAACTTGGCGGTAGATCTGTCAAAAACAAGCATAATTATAACCAACTGGTCGTTTCTTTTTAGCGTAAATTATGGCAAAAAGAACCTTATATAAGATTCATTTTTGTACTAAATTTCAATCAAATCCGTTCAGTCATTGAACAACAAAACGTGATTGAGTAACAAACATACAAATACATTTTTATAAACAATCACATGAATAAAGTTGGTAGGGTATTTTTTTTCTTTTTTATACTTTAAAAAGTTAAATAAGAATTGACGTCCGATACGTCATTAGAAAATAATACTGTTTGCATATATAGGTATAAGTATAGGCTACTATAGAGAAGTAATAATCAAAATGCTGGTTTTAAAATAAAGTGCAAATCAAAATCACCTAAGCTCTGCATTTGATGTTGACTAAGTACTGCAACAAAATTGTCTTCTTCGGAGAAGTGGTTCGGATTATTTTCTTTCATTTCTAATTCGGCATCTGCGCAGAATAAAATATTATAAACAATAATCAAAACAAAACTCAGTTTTGTAAAAGAGGACTTCAGTAAAATCATATACCTGAGTAATAAATTCAAATCTTGATAAAGTTGGACCCACGGAAAGTTTCCTTCCTCAAAAACTTTAAAAGGACGAGTTGTTGGAGTTAAGTTTTCTCAGATACGCTATATACGTTGTGGGTTTTTTATACGATTTGGTTATTATACTCTATAATTATAAACAGTTATTTTTTTGTACTTGTCATAACAGGCTCTGATGATTATGATGAAATTAGTAGCTGTACATATGTTTCAGAGGTTAAAGATTTAATTTAACGTAATTATAAACTTATTGGGTGAAAATTACGTACTGTACATAATATTGTAATCAATCGTAGATACATTTTTAAATTAATTTTTATTATTAGAATTTCACAATTGTTGCTCGTGGCTTTAGTTTTTTTGCGGATATCCTTTTATATTTTGGATTCTGTCACGTCCAAGAAACTCCGAGCACAGCCCTCTCCATAGTTCGCTGAGTAATTTGAAGCTTTTACATACGGTAACCGTATAAGACCATGTTTGGGTTCTATATGTCATCACTGGCAACACGCATTGGTTAAAGACCTTCGTCTTCAACCAGTATATTGTACTGGTTGTCAAATTAAACTGTAATTTCCAGATATTCACATTTTCGGTTAAAGTTAGAAAGCTGATTTTTTGCTGTTTATTTTGTACGATCAAATACGTTCGTGAGAATTTCGTATCGTTTTTATTTTTCAACTTAACCTTATAATTTCCCTCATATATTGAGTACTAAACGTATATTATGGTAACACTATTCACACACATATGGATAAAAAAGTTTACTTGTTTTTGGTGAAGCATTTGTATGCAGATACTCTACCTATATAAGCTAATATTCTTACAACGTGTTTACCATTCAATTAATGAATGAACATTTGATATTTATTTACTATGAGTAAATAAGTTATACTCACAAGATTCTATTGTTGTAGACACAGTCGATGCACTGACTGCTGTCTCCATTAGGTTGGTTGTACTTTTTAAAGTTGTTGTGACAAGCGCTATAATAAAATAAATTGGTGAAAATATTTTCATCCTTTATAGATTTTATTTCATATCGAAATGGAGCAAAAATAGATGGAAATTTTAAAATTGTAATAATTTGACTGTATAGTAGTTTTTTTTTCTACAAAGAAAATTGTTGGAATATTTTATTTTGTTCTGAAAATTTTATTATATTGCAGATCATTAAATAAACTTAATTACTTTGCTAATATCCCGTTCAGTAACAATTCAAAGATTTATTTGCTCCACGTGAGAGTAATTGAATTTAAAAAAGAATATTTTATTAAGACTTATAGAGATAAAATTGTCTTTATGGTTAACTGAAAATTATTATTTAAATTGAATGAAGAATACAAGTGTATGTAGTTTATGTACTCAGAACAAAAAACGAATGAATTATTCTGCAAGAACAATCTTAAGCAAACCATTCGTCGATAGAGTTTCAAGAAAAGTCAAGAATGTCAGTGATGAATAGATAAATTGAGCTTAAACGATTGATTGGAGTAATTTTAAAACTGCACACATATAGGGAGAAAAATTAAGGGGAATGAAATAAATAAAAAGCAGTTTAAAAAAAGTGAATAACTAGATTTTCTTTATTAAAGATAGTATGCACCTGCATATACGATGAAATTTCTTATAGATATACACTTTGTACATTATTTATTTATTAATTTTAAATTTGATTTTTTTCTATGCAATAAAGAATGCTATTTTTTGAAGGGATGTTTCATTACACCATCATTTACCTATATGACCAGTTTAAAAATGCGACAAAGGAAATCCTATACAAACACCGAATTGATTAAAATTTGATCTATATACTTAGGTAACTGATTATAGTTTAATAAAACAATGCAAAAATACTTACTGTAAACTGTAATGTCATCTAGTGTGGAGCCAAGTGAGTTCTCCACGTGGCAGTAATATGGTCCAATGTCATTACGCGATACGTTGTTAATCTTGAGTGTAGCTGTATGTTTGTAGCTATTTGACGTTATGCTCGTCTGGTATTTGGAGTCTGCAAATAGTTTAGAGATCAAGGAACTGCCATTATTTTTATATCAATAATAACATTATCACATGTACCTAATTACAAGGACATTGGATTCCATATGATATGTAGTGGAAGACTTGGTACAAAAAGCAAAAGCTGTGCTTCTCAATAGAAACAAAGCCATGCAGGTTGTGTTTTGGTTCGCAGTAAAATGATACGGTGCAGAGGCATAACATCATACTTCTCAAAAATGATGACGTATGAGATGATAAAGTGCAAAGTTAAGGCATTATGGTATTCATACAGCCTATAGATTACAGTTACCGCTTTCGATCAGGTGGACTGTCAATTTGTTTCCTATTTTAAATTGCATAAAAATACAGTTTTGCATTCGATAGCTGCTTATAATGTTTGAATTTAAAATATTATATTTTTTTTTATAAATGAACAATCAGAGACTTTATTAAAAATTATAATTATCATAATTAAGAAAAATTTTGACGAGGATATTACTTGTTAAATATTTTAATTGTATATACCTTTATATATCTGTAAATGATGGGCAAAGTGATAAACAGCAACGGTCACAAGGTATCAAAGTTCGTCGTTCGTAATAAAGGCATTCGGCATATAAAATAAAGAAAAGGGCGATAATTTTATGGGTTTTATTCTTTAAGAATGAAACGAGTTATCCAAGTATCTAACTTTTGTTGGTACACATGTTTTTTCTTTTGTGACTGCTTTCTAAATTGAGATTCGTGAAGATTGGCCTTTTATCGCGATCACAGAAAAATTTGTGAAGGTGGCTATTTGAAGAGAACTGACTTATCTCCGACTAATCTCTTACTTGTCGAAAACGTTGATAAGAATCAAATTTAAAATATTTAAGAAATTACATCAATTTTTATGAGTTATTACTCAATTACAAAGCTCTGGGTTTTTAGAAAATTACTCTAAGAAATTAATTGTTTTGAGTAAAAATAATATGTGTGTAAAATAACAAGGGCTCTCAGTGGACACTGCTAACTAAACAAGCATATGGCCTAACTAGACTTATGCCCAAAAAGAGTTTGCAGATTTTGTTACAATAAGAAAGAAATGCTGCAGCACATAATTTGTGGTTGTAGCCCACCCATACATAAACTATATATCTATCTCCTTTGGAAAATAGACTTTATATCCTGAGGAAATAAAAACATTGCTTAAAAACCCTACCATTGATAGAAATTAGAAGCGAACTTTAAAAAAAGGCGAGAAGAAAAGATCATCGAAAGATCGCAAGGTCACAGGTTTTTCTGCCTGAAAAGTCTTTCAATAATAATAAACTATTATTAAACTAAGATGATTCTGTAGAATCATGCAGTTATATTTATAACTCTACAAAGTTGCACGGCTTTCTCATGTCCTTTGGTACATAAAAGCGTCTCTTTTGAAAGCGACATAGGTCATAATGTACTACGTGTACTCAGCAATAGATAGTGATTAATGATCAATCCGACTATCAGAATTGCCAGTTTCAAAAGTTTCGAGCCGGTTTAACGACTGTTATCTAGTGATAGCCCACTTAATCGATAGATTAATTTGCAATTCCAACCACGCGGGTACGCTGAGTTAACATGACACTACGGTCTTCAACCCCAAGGGACGACCGCATTCAAGTTGTTTAACCTAAGTGTTGAAGGTTAAACAATTGAGGTGAGCGATTTGCTACTAAATAATTAGATAGATGTTGTAAAAGGACGATTAAAGAAGATATGGGTAGAGTGCATGATGGATGATATGCGAAAAGGCAGAGTGAGTTCGGGTTTTTAGATTTATAAGGATCAATAGGAGAGGAAAAGATATTGCGCCAACCCCAAATGAAGGCCTAAGGCAATTTATTTAAAAAGGGAACATTCAAAATAGTATGCAACAAGCCAATCAGTGGTTATTTAAATATAAAAAAAGTAAATAATCCAACTGAAAAAAGAGGACGATTTGTATATCATCATTTTTGTAATTATTAATTTATAAATTTGTTATAACAATATCTTCGTGTTTTCAAACTGCACCTAACTGATACAAATTGTTTTACATAATTGAGTTGTTTGATGTTCTAAAATTTAGAAATGTACTTACTATTTAACAGTTTATTCTCATCTATATGAGACCAGTAAACGTTTGGTGTTGGATTTGCTTCGATTCTGCATTGTAGTAATATGGAGTCGCCAATGTAACCTCCTATCATCTTCTGTGATATATTGGCCGTAGGTGCACCTGATAGAATAAAACATGCAATTAATCGATTATATGTTATTATTTTATTCGATCGTCTTTATTAATATGTTTTTAACATTTATACACACAACCGGTAAATATGCTTGGGGATAAAGTTTCGAAATCAGGCGCATGTATAATAATATAAACAATTTAATAAATATAGTAAAATAAAGGATAAGTATTGTAATTAATATTAGCGACATAAAATACAGTCCATATAACTCCCTGATAAAGTAGTTTTCTATAAGCGGAAGAATTTTCAAAATCGGTAAGTATTTTTTGAGTTTATCAATTACATACAAAACATCATATCTTTCATCTTTATAATATCAGTTTCGATAATGAAGTTTCATAAAGAAGTAACAACACAAACAGTGACTTTTAACAATGGTTTACTTATGTTTTTCTAATATACCTTATGTGTTATACCTATAATATTTCTATTACGTTACGGTTCTGATAAAAATTTTGTTGTGTTAATTTAGAGTTTTTCTTTAAGTCTAATTAATATTTTATAATATTTTATATTAAATAAGTAAGTCAAATTAACTCTTGTCATTAAGTAGACATGAGCAGATAAACAGATAAAAGTTCCAAAATAAACAACCCTCTTTTTATAGGGATATTGCAAGATTATCTATAAATATACACAATATAAAGCTCTTAAGCTTATTAGATGGAATTGGGTCGGGTAGTTTCATGTAAGTAAATAGATGGGTAGTGCATATGCTCATTTATACATATAATTATTTAAAAACATGTTATTAGGTATTTAATTTATTTCTATTGATTAATATACAAAATAAATGTATTGAATATTTCAGTACTTGTTTCTTTAAGGTAGGTCGGTATAAGTTTAGTACCAATAAAAGGCTCGTAACAAAAAAATAATACGAATTAAATATGTTTAAATCCAAGCTTTGTACAAAAAGAACAATGTGAGGACCAACTTATTCGTAGTTTAATTTTGTTTTCAAGAATTGAATTTTTGCACGTGCTATGAGAAATATTGATAGAATTTGCTATATAATATATATAATATAGTAGTATATTTTGGGTTATTGCTTATAAAATATTCTGGGTCAATAGGTATAATATTTTTTTTTATTGTAAATGATAAATTATCATTTAATACAAGTGAGGTAGAATTAAAAGGAATTTATAAAGAAAGCAGCCTATTTATAAATTCTTAACTGTTTGCGGATTTACTTAGGATCTTAATTTAATTTGGGGTAGATGGAAATATGAAAATAATCTTTATTTTACAGACAATCGCTAAATAATATAATTTTTAATATGTTTTAGCGAGGAGTAAAGTGTTAGAGGTATCTGTATATATTTAGTTTTGATAATGCGTAGTAAACCCTTTAGATATTGCAGTCGTTTGAATTGAGGATTGTAGAAATTTCTTCTACCCAGATTTTACTTACGTTATAAAACGTAGGTAGTTTTTTTTTGGGTTTTTAAGGTGTAATTTTTAGGCCTCCCGTCTTCATTATTGGATAGGGGTGACGAGATGTCTTTTATGATGGGTGCACTGAGTTCATTGGGCCGCGATTAAATTATTAGGGGAGCATAGTTTAAACGTAGGTGGTTTTCTGAACACATGAAATGGAAAAATTTATGAGTAAATACTAACACAATACATGTAGAAGAATCCGCTTGCTAACTGAAGGCGGGACTCCGTTAGTGGCTATACAAAGGAAGGCGCCGTTGACTTCTCGCCCCACTGACGTCATGTTCAACCAAACGCCACGCCATTTAGTCACTGCAATTACACTTATTAATAACGTCTGATTATTTTGAACAAGGGTTTTTAAATGAATGAAATTGGAAAATTAATCTCTTCTGTGCTTATTAGTATTATGTTGATAGGGTTCCAATAAGGAATTGGTGCAGATAAAGTGGGGCAGGAATTAGCCATGATGAGTTCCAGGGTCCTCCTTGGACTGTGTGGAGGTCGACCTGTATGGCATATTACTAGCAATAGGGCTATTAATTCTTTTTATTAACGATCTGTCCTCCCCTGCCTTATACTTTACACATTTGTAACGTCCATGGTGTAACTCATGTCTATAAGCGAATGGTACTTATATAGATCTATTTAAGGTGACGGAGCGCGTGCTGACACCTCATTGGTCTGGCGTCCACTCTAGAATATGAGGGAAGCTTAGTGAAGACATATAATTGTTTTTTTAATGTTGTTATTACTTGCTATCTAAGTATATGTAAATGTTGTGGATTATTGAAATAAGCCTTCATTCATTCATATCAGAGTAGGTATTTATACGTCTTTTTAAAGCGGCAAGGCACTGAATATGCTAATGGCTGTATAATTTTATTAAGAAGGTCCTTACCTCCTATTTTAATCATATAAAAATAAGATGACAATAAATTACCCATACACATAATGTGATAAATGTACAGCTGAATGAAATATAAAGCCTAATATAAGATATTCAATCTTGAAATCCATCAAATTATCTGCGGGTGACAGCGTGGTTTCACATGAAACGATTGTAATAGGATCTTTGTACGTCATTTTTAGGCTAGATAAAAATTGTCTACGTAGCGTTTTATGATTGTGTTCTAAATCTAGTTGTAACGAACTGGGATTACGACTGGGATCATCGGTTTATTTTGCTGTCCAAGAGTGTTTTTATTTAATATCTAAATTCTAGACAATCCATTCACTATATTCAGAATATAAGATACAAATAATATGGATTGGTTTGATCCGATGTATTTTGTTTTATGATGTGTGTATCTATACACATTTGAAATACTTGGAATTGCATTGTTTGCAATTCCAAGTATTTCAAATGTGATTGACGGAAAGCTTTTCAGTTATGTATAGACATGATTGTCACAGAATACCTTGAAAAATATTTTTACAAATTCCATTGTATAAAAATACCTTAACATTCTCAGAAATGCTAGGGAAATATTATTTAGTGTTGATAGGAAAATATTTTAAGTCTAACTTTGTTTTTATGAAGAAGGATGAAATTTCATTATACCTAATATATATATAAAATTAAAAGTATAGACTTTATTATTTACATTATTATAAATCCGAATAGTGGATTAAGTCTCTTTAAGTTCTACAGAACGTTAAAGATACTTAACACATTATTTTTTGTTATGTACATTAAATATTTACATACCATTTTGGCCTTCGATTCTCATTTCGGTTGAATCTTCCCGTCTCCAGGTAATGGTGGGTAGGGGGGTGCCCGAGGCAGAGCAATGCAGCGCAACGTCATCCCCTTCATGTATTATAACTTCGCTACTGCTCCCAGAATCGACTATATCTGGTGGAACTAAAGGATAAATATTAAAATTTTGTTAACAATTATTATAAGCTAAGGAAATAATTAAAATTATAAATACTTTTATAACAATTTTTAATAGATGGAAAACAGTTTTTCAGAATATTAAACAGTAAAATATGTTCCTCAAATTGAATTGTATTTCGGAATAAAACCATTTAAAAAATTTTGTCTGAACAAAATTTTCCTTTGTGTAAGTTGCCTACTTGATTGGTACACGTGTACAATGTAGCGTGCGATTCAATTTGTTCCAATATAACAGACAAAAATGTACTCCATCGAATAGATATTGTTGTTATTGTATCAGTCATTAACTGTCCACTGCTGAACATAGCCTTCTCCATAAGGGGGGTTGCTGCCAATGCCTCTCTAAGTCGTCTCTTACGATACCCACGGAAAAGAAAGGGGTAGCCTATTCTATGCCGGAACTTATACGACTAGAAGTATCTAGTGTAAAATAGTGCAAACACTTATAATTTAATACAATATAGTAGCTCAACATAAATGTAATTTGACTATGTATTGACTTAATGACGCTGTATGTTTTCTTAAACATAAATAAATACAGATGGCACTTTGGACTTTTAAGAAAATTGCTTATGTAAATCCTACAGGGCGCATTTGCATTTTTTGACATACTGCACGACGCCATCTAATCCCAAACTAAGCAATGCAAAGTATTTAAATGTCTATTACTTATTTAATAGTTAGATGGTATGGATCCTAGACAACCGACAGATATATGTAAATACTTTTTTTTATATAAATAAAGTCATGAATTCAAACGTTTGTATTATGCGAGGGTTGACCAGCGATCATCGGAAGATGAGCGGTGTATTGAGCCACGAAGCTGTTTGTAATACTATACATATATTTAATTACTTACCAAAAACTTGAAGTTGATGCGTTTGTGTGATCATAGGGTCAGTGTTGACTTGACACATGTAATTGCCCCCATCTGATAGCCGCACGTCCCTCAGAGTAAGGGTCCACGCTTGAGGGTCCCCACGGGTGATACCTACTCGATGGTTCTTTGTGATAACATGGGGGCCAATAGTTAAAATCGTTTGGGTGTCCACTCTTAACCATGCTACCTAAAGAAAATGCAAAATATCTACTCAGTAAGTTGAAAATAGTTGTAAGTATAATGCGAATTTAATTTATTAGGACTTTATAATTTGATATAAAAAAAAATTATAATATACTAGAAAAAGAAATAGAAACGTAAAGATATTTACAGAAAATTATTAAACTATATTTTTTATGAATTACTTAATTTGTTATTGGTATAAAATTGTCTGTTTCAGAATAGATATCTGATCCGACTGAGATGATCCGGTGCAAACGAGTTCAGAACTTCGAAAATTAGTTCATTCAAAAGGCTTTTCTTCGGATGTGAACGATTAGCATTTGACGTCATTCTTGTGACACAATGAGCTTAAACAATGGGTAAGGAGCAAAATCAAGCAGGTATTTAAATAACAAAGAAGTAGGTTCTACTTGACTCGTAAAATTGGGCCCTTTCCTTTAAACTGTACCTGGTTTATAGCACGATAACGAATTTGCAGAAAATTGCAAATCTCACAAGCAACTAAATCAGTACGATTTTATATAGTTCTGCCACTAATGGCATGTGGCCATCAATTTACTGTGCATAAGACCCCTCACCCTTAATACATATTTCCATTACACGTCCACTATATGGATTTCAACATCTCCTTAAAGATTTGTTGGCGCTCGACTATTCATTTGCTATGTTTACAAATAATTAGTTTTGATACGTATTTTATAGTTTGATAGATCTTCACAAGTACAGTCAACATTTGTACTTGGGGGTAGAACTAAACAACTGAGATTAATTTTTGTGACATTTCATTCATCTAAATATTTGGCTAAGATACACAGTTTAGGACATCGTGCACATATTATGTTAAGAAACCTTATCATTTCTTGGAATAAAATTAAATTTAGATATTGATCTAATACAAATATACTTTAAAACATTATATAGTGTTAAATTGGAGAGAACCATGCTATTTTGAACAAGAAAGAGCCTATTGTCCTAAATAGTGTAGCTTTACCTTTATAATCACTCTTCAAAGGGACAAATGCGCTTATTGCCAACACTTTGGCTTAATATTTACAAGTGCGTAGTGGGTAACCTTTCTTATGAGTGGGTGTAACACTTTGAATGGAAACGCATTACTTTAGGAAATGAGTTACGGAAACTATTAGTCTTACTGACGGGAAGCGCAAATAGATAAGCTGAGCTTGATGTGTGTCGATTTGTTCAAATTTGTTCAATTGAATGTAACTTTGGGAAAGCTTTGATATCGCCTTAAATTATATTTTGTATATACGTTCATAATTTTCTGCGTCAGTACGGAGAGTTACAAACATTACATTTATTTTGAGATAATTTTAATTTCTACATACTTACTTGTATATGTATTATTCAAATATTTAGTTGTTGTGCATGTTTTTTTTTTACCTATAAGCATGCATGCATGGTAATATAGGTATCTATTAATTTCATGATATCGATATAAAAAAATATTCTAATTTGGGAACTCATTTGTGGACGAAATTGATTTTGACTTATGGTGGGATACTAATAACTCATAATAATAGTATTATTGTAAATATGAGCCAGAAACGAATATTTACCTTGTAGTTGTGTAAGTTCTCTACTTTACAGATGAGTGAGGCATCTCGTCCGACCACTACTGTCACGTTTGTGCCAGGCCCCAAAAATTTTGGTTCATCTGCATAACAAGAAGCTTTATTATGATAGATGCCGATTTCTTTTTCTACCGACTTAAAAAATGAAAGAGGTTCCCATGCGGTTGATTTTTTACATTTGCTACCTCAGAACTTAATCAATTGTAAACCGATATTGAAAATCCCTTTTTTATTGCAACGATATATTCACATATTAATGTCAATCTTATCAAAATCGGTTCAGTGCTTCAGTTTTGAAATCAAAATAATTGGTTTTAATACAAATGAAGTCGGTTTGTTTAGTGGGACACAATCTTATTATTATATGGCGTAAGTATAACATAATACTTAATATAATCTATTCTATAAAGTATATTTTTATTTGATAAGTTATCACCATATAAGGCTGTTTTAGATGATACTTGGCTAGTTTACAAGGATGGATATCTTTGAGAATTACGTATCGGTATCACTCTACTACTTAATATTTATTATACGTTAAACAGATAGATACATTTGTTTGCCAGAACATTTATTTTACAAATCTTATTTTTATTATCAAGTACAAATGTTAGCTTACTAGCCTGAGGCATGCAAATTTATTTATGGCTAGGTACAGGTTTTCATATTTATGTGTCTTAATATTACGTCAATTATTCGTTACAAATCAACAACAATAAAATTAAGAGAAAAACAAAAAGTTATACCCATTAAAAAAAATTACAACGAAATCACATACGTTACGCGAAATATTATATTTTCTGAAATTATAATATCTATAACAATAAATTTGATTCAATTCAGTGTCAGATAATTTAAGATTGTGTTCTACAAAAAAAAAAATTGGTAGTGACATTGTAACACACACATATATATATAAAGGAACTTATGTATTCCTTTATACTATATTATATATATTGAACCAAATTTATCTTTTTTTCAATTCTATAGTCGAAAACGCGCTAGTTACTTTCCTATACTATGTTAAGAAAACATAAGTATTTACATAAAATTCAAATTACTTTTTCTTTATCTAACAGATTACACTTTCTTGTGAAATTTTAATTCATTACATTTTTTACTTTGGCTATTTTTAACATTCCTTAAGAGCCCTCGTAAAAATATTTCGCTAAGTAGCTTGGTAATATTTTAGTAGAGCATAAACTCATGTTATGTGTAGGTAAGCATCAGTATACCTATCTAGCAGATTTTATTTGCCAAAAAAGGCATAAATATTCAAATACAAAGATACAATTCTTGTTTATTCGGGTCATATGTAAGTAAATATATGAATATGAATTAAAATAGATATAGAGAACGGACAATGAACTAACTAAAATCTGATATCTATTACTAAATACCTGTTTATAAGGTACTCACCTAAATTGTATCCATTTCTTTTGGACCGATCAGTATCGGGTTTTCATAATTCAATGAGATAGGACAATTCGTTTTCTCCTTTCGCGCGCATTTTCCCACGTAATCGGCTTAGCATCGGGAGAAAACGTTACGGAAAAGGTGGGGTAAATTAAATTGTTAAAAAAAAACATTTACAGCTTAACATATTACTTATTTTTTCTGTCTGTTATATGGATGATTTTATAAGTAGATTTACTTGACTTCTACTGATATTATAAATGTGTATGCAAAGTAACAAGTAGCAAAACATCTTTACAGAATTTATTATTGAAGTATTAAACTAATACTATTTTGCACTGAACTTTAGTCCGTCTGTCTTTAGTATGCCTGTCTAGTATGGCAACCTTAGCTAATGTTCTTCTGTTATAGAAAGAGATCCATGATCAAAATTGGGGCGTAAATTGGTTTTGTTTATAAAATAACAACGTAGAGTATTATGTATTCATGGACAACAGACAAGGTTATATCAATATTAATAATAATACGTTACATACGTGCCTAGAATGATAGTAAATATAATATACAATAAAGAAATCCTAAGTAATCCTACTATCTACTACTATTATAAATACGAAAGTTTGTGAGAATATTTAGATGGATGTTTGTTAGTTTTTCATACAAAAACTACTGATTTAGTATACAGTTCGGTTATATTTTAACTTAATACCTTGTTGATGTACTAATTTACGAGGGTAAAGCTGTGGAATACAGTTAGTGACATTATAAATGTCAAAGTTAGTTTGGTAACTCTTATCGTCTTAATAGTTCAGTAAATCTTCCTGAAATATAGTAAGTACATAGTATTTGAGATGGAGAAGCTTCCTCCTAGAAGAACATAGGGTATGTTACTTGTCTCAGATTCAACGTATTCCCGGTCACGTGAACGAAGTCACGAACAAAAACTAATAATATAAGAAGTTAATTTTCTGAAATGGATACCATGGAAAATGAATACCAATAATGTATTTTGTATTATAATTGTAAACTAAAGTGTAGCTATAAAATCATATAACCAGTTACATACCTATATAAATTAATTTATAAAATATTAATTAATCAAAAAATAAACTCTTATTTCAACGTTTTTCAGGTATCCTTTTATATTTATAGCGAGGTTTATAATTTAGAATAATATTTTAGATTCCCAAATGTAGGTTTATCTAAATATAACATTAACATTTTAAATTTTTATTCACAGTTATATAGTTTATTTACACATTTATTCGTTATAGTAAATAAGTTATTCTAATTTAAAAAATTAAGTGGTGTTTATAATTTAGGGCGATACGTAAAGAGTACTTATGTAACACGTGTAATTAATACATAAATGTAGGCGGTAAATAGTTAATTTTCTGAAATGGAATACCTATATAACCTACCTACATAAAATAATTTATAAAATATTTATAGTGAGGCTTATAATTTAGAATAATATTTTGGATTCCCAAATGTTGGGTTTTCTAAATATAGCATCAGCATTTTTAAAATTTTTATTTACAGTTATATAGTTCATTTAACTATAAATAAAATTTTTATTTAAAAATTTTACAGTGATGTTTATAATTTAGTGCGATACGTGAAGAGTACTTACGTAACACGTGTTATGATTAATACATAAATGTAGGCGGTAAATAATTGGGGAACGTGTAGGTATTATTAACACAGAAAATACAAAGAAAATTAAATTTTGCGTAGCGTACATGGCGCGTTTAATCATACTTATGTAATAAAATTGTAACTAGACGATGTCTATACTTGGGAAGTATTTAATAAAAATTTATATGAGGGTTCGTAATAAGATTAATAGGTGCCAAGACAATAATGTTTAGATTTTTTTCTGTTTGTTTGGCAGTATGTCTGTTCCGGTACTAAATTGAATGCTTGCATCTCTTGAATGTCTCATCAAAAAATTACAAAAAAAGCCATCTATAAGTAGTTTAGGTGGTTTGTTGCATTAGTTTTGTTACTTTTGAAATCCACGCGTACGAAGTAGTGGGAAAAAAGCTAGTAATATATGTTCTTATGTGTGTATATTTATTCTATTGCGGTAGGTACCTTTACTTTCACGCTTCAATGATAAAGCGAATCCAATATTTCCCTTTTTTATATTAGGGGAAATATTGGAAATGGTTTTATCATGAGCCGACAGTGAGCTGAAGAGGGTAGTTTTTACTTGTGTTCACGGCCGTCATTTAACCAATTGCTGATTCTCAGATTTTACTCTTACCACAGTATAGGTAAAACTGTAGTAATGATAATTGCAGAAGACAGCTACAGGAACTACTATTAATCACAAATACAATCTTTAATAAATATGGACTCAAAATTAATAGCAAGAAAACTAAATCAATGACAACAGCTAAATCTCAACACAGTAATACTATAAAAATTATGAATACTCAATTAGAACAGGAAAATACATTTAAATAGTTGGACAGTTCAATCACAAGTTACTCCAGATATACTCCGGATATAGTCGCGAGAATAGCTTTCGCTCAACAAGCCTTCAATAACAAAAACTGCTTTTTACAGGTTAAGATCAAAAATATTAGAAAGCAGCTTATCAAAACCTATAACTGGAGTATAGCTTTGTATAAATGTGGGACGTGGACACTTAACTCAGAAGGAAATAGATAAACTTAGAGCCTTTGAAATGTGGTGCTGGAGAAAGATGGAGAAAATTTGCTGGAAAGATCGAATTAGTAATAAGAACCTACTTAAGGTTAAAGAAAAAAGACAAATTTTAGGAACTATTGAGGTCAGATGGAATAAAATTTTAGGACACTTGATACAATACGACGAACTTATGAACATTATAATAGAAGATAACGTAGAAGGAAGGAGGGGAAGAGAGATTTCAAGCCATAGCTACATCAGGCTGATCGTGGAAAAAATTGGTGTTGTGTTGTATCAAGAGATAAACCGACTCGCTGAAAATTGTAGTGAGTAGCAAGAGCTCCACCGACAAGAGCGCAGCTCTTAAATAGTATCGATTGGTAATACTATTACTATAAAGAAAATTGAAATTGATATTCGAAAATTTATATATGATATATTATCACCACCTATCACAAACCATAAGCTTCAATAAACGTTACAGTCTAATAATAGTATCTACCTATTAAATTACCTTATATTAATAAGTAGGAATTATGATTATATATGTGAGTGTATATATACATATAAGAAGCTTATCTATCACCTATCTTTATACTCGCTACAGCGAAGCAAAAAGGAGGGTTATGATTTTGTTTTGTCATATTATTAATATTTTTGAAGATTTTTTTGCTAATATTCCGATTGATATTACATCTTCTTTTAAAAAAAAATTACTAGAGACTAATATCGGTTCTTGTTCTTTAAGATTTAAATTTTCACATGTTAGCCCCTTTCATATCATAAAAATATTCAAACAGCTAAATTTAAAAAATACGGAAGACCTTTGGGGCATGTCTGTAAAAGTAGTTAGTTCTTTCATAGATATTGTTGCTCCATATCTAGCCACTATTTTTAATAAATGTATTGATAATGGCGTTTTTCCACATTTAATGAAATTTAGCAAATTAATCCCACTATTTAAATCAGGAGATAAATTTGAGCCAGGGAACTATAGACCTATATCTATTTTGCCAGTTCTAAGTAAGGTGTTTGAAAAGATAATGTTAAATCAAATGTTACATCACTTCAGGGTTAACGGACTGCTTCACAGTCAGCAATATGGTTTCACCGCCGGCAAGTCTACCACTGACGCAGGTGTTGCGCTAATGACACATATTTTCGAATCTTGGGAGAGGTCACAGGATGCACTCGGAGTTTTTTGTGACCTATCAAAGGCATTTGATTGTGTGGATCATAAAACGCTTTTGTACAAGCTCGAACATTATGGTATAAGAGATAATGATCTAAAATTAATGAGAACTTATTTAGAGGATAGGGTTCAAACTGTAGATATTGACGGTGTAAAATCTAAGGGAGCTAATATTAAGATGGGCGTTCCACAAGGGTCAATCTTAGGCCCCTTTCTCTTTTTAATCTACATAAATGACCTTCCCTTTATGGTAGAGAAAATTGCAGATATAGTGCTGTTTGCTTTGGATGATACTTCGTTAGTGTTTAAAATTGGACGTCAAAGTAATCAATTAGACGATGTAAATTGTGCTATGTCTGCAATATTAAATTGGTTTACATGTAATAACCTATTATTAAATTCCAGCAAAACAAAGTGTATAAAATTTACACTTCCTAATGTAAGACTAATAAATACACAGTTATTGCTTAATGACGAAATAGTAAATTTTGTTAATGATACAGTTTTTTTAGGTATAACAGTGGACTCGAAATTACAATGGGGGCCCCATATTTCAAAATTGGCCAGTAGACTCAGTTCTGCTGCATATGCAATTAGAAGAATTAGGCAATTAAGAGAAGTGGCGACGGCTAAACTTGTATATTTTAGTTATTTCCATAGCATAATGTCTTATGGCATACTGCTGTGGGGTAAAGCAGCCGATATAAATACTATATTTGTTTTGCAAAAGAGAGCCATACGTTCTATTTATGGTATGGGTTCAAGAGAGTCATTACGTCAGTGCTTTAAAGACTCAAATATCCTCACAGTTACTTCACAATACATTTATGAAAATATTATGTATACACGGAAGAACTTAGAGAGTTTTAAAAAACTCAAAGACTGTACAAGTAGAAACTTACGCAATATAAATAAGCTTATTTTACCTAAATGCCGTCTGCACAAAATCAGTAATTCATTCTATGGTAATTGCATAAGATTTTATAATAAACTGCCGGAATCTGCATTAAATCTGACAGAGAGGCAATTCAAATCTTATATTAAACAATTTTTATGTAAGAAAGCCTATTACAGGATAGACGAATTCATAGATGACAACATATCAAGTAAATAATTAGTTTATTAGCATACAACGTTATAATTTTATTTTCTCATTGCTTTCTTGATTTAATTGATTAATTTTAGAAATATGAAAGCGTAGCGGTTTTTTGTATTAATTGCCTTAATTGAATTGTATTAAGAATGCATGCATTCTTATGTAAAATGTGAATACTATAACTATTAGATGGCAATTGTGAGTAGCTTTGACGTGGTCTAGTGTTTTGAGTAATCATGCTCACTAAAATGTCCAGACTTGTGGCGGCGTGGTGGGCCGGGTCATTGGGCTCCCTAAAATATGGTCGAGCGCAGTGATGGCTGGCTCATCCGTCATACTCGTGAACGGGTGCTGCTTGTAGGGACTGGTCTGCTCTAATCACTATGACTGATTTCCTCTTATTAATTGTTTAACCAGTTGGTTATGTATTCAATATTTTTTTCTTTTTGAGTATTTAATTGAATTAGTGCTAATTGGTGGTTTGTATTCACACAATTAAACTTAAAAATGTAAAGTAATAATAAAATTATTTAAAAGAGCAACACGCAAGTTTCTTGCTCGTTCTTCTTGTGATGAGACAGCTTTCCGAACGAGCGGTAGATTAAAAAAAATGTAATGACTTTTCAAAAGTGCTTCAATGTAAGTTTATTTGAATAAATGATTTCTATTCTATTCTATTCTATTTACATAGAACGGCAAATAAGTTAACGCTTGTAGAAATATGAACAGCATTATTAAAATCAAAGAATACTGTGTAATGGACATAGTGCCACTTGTGTGATTGGTATTAAAGTAAATGAAATTATAGAAAATAGGTATTTAGTTAGTCTGTATCATCAGAAATAAAAAAAAATATATTCACGCTTTAGAAACGAACACGTGTTTAATTATGGTGTACCATAATTAAACACGTGTTCGTTGCTAAAATTGTTAAAATGTATTTTAACAATTTTAGCAATTTTGTTCAATTACATTTTGAAGTATATGAACATTTGTATACTTAAGACTTGCGTAATATACGATGTTTGAAGTTCAAAAACGTATACTTACGTATACTAATTAGCGGTGCAAAATTCTGAGTGATTTTGTCATTTGGATAATTAGTAATTACTAATTTTATAATTCGACTACTAAATTAGTAATATACTAATTTTCGTATTCGAATAATTTTACTAATTAGTAATTCGATTGAAACCATTAATAATGAAAACAAAGTCATTTCCCTGTATCCGTATTTGCTACCTTGACAATAAGCAATAGGGAAGTTATACACGGCCAGAAAACATTTTTTCGTCATTGCAAGCATCTAGTACCTTCGTTTAAAATATAAATAGTAATTTCATTAATTTACTTCATTAACAAGAAAAAAGGACATTTCAGCGATCGGGTTGACTCGGCTACGTCCATACCGACTCGTACATGAACAATTACTAATTAATGATTTTAGCGATTAGTAAAAGCTTATAGTGAATGAAAATAGTAATCAATTGATTTGAAAACCATTTCAACAAGTCTAATAAATTGCTAATTCGAATAATTAGTAATTGTTTTACTAAATTCACGCATCACCATTATATAAATATTATATTCAATAGAGTACTAAATTATTTCCATGGCTATATTTTTTTCCCAGGCAATTTATGGTGGGTACCGTGGGCACCATCATAGTGTATTCTTTGATGTACATGATGCTATTCATATACTACTTGTGGGATAGCTCGCCTATACTAATATTATAAACATAAAAATATTTCGAAAATTAATAGTTTATATTTTTTGTTGTTTTGGCAACAGTAATTTTTTTTTAATATTTTTTTCTAAGTGGCAATATTGTATTATAATCTCTTCAATTACCAGTCCATATGAACAGAATGGTGTGCTATATTAATTTATTAGTGTTAGTTCAATAAATTATAATAAATTAAAAATAAACCTTTTTACTAACATACTTTAACAAACTAAAAAAATACTCAATCCATGATATCGGCTGAATTGCTTTTGAATTTATCCATATATAGTCATAGTCGTAGAATATTGACGGATCTGACAAAGATTACATATAAAGATCCGTCAGTATTCTACGACTATGACGATATAAGGTATACATTCATATAGATCGTTATAGATCGCTAGTAATTCATTAAGTTACTTTTGTATAAAAAGTAATATATCAAATTTATTGAAGTAAGTATGTATTATTACCTCTAGTTTACAAATGATAAACTCACAAATTAACCGAAGTTTAAAAAAAAAGATAAACTCCAAGAGACTATTGGATTCTTAGCTGATATCAAAAACGAATATTCTCAATAAGGCTGATTTTGTTCGTGCCTGTACATGTAGATTTATTCCTCAATTGGGAACCTAAATTGGTGACTCTTTTTTATTGAGATACTTATCTGTTAGTCTAATACAGATTGTATCAAGATTAAACTTTCTTTAATGCATTTTTAGGATATTTGAAACTTTGATCACTAAATATTTATACTATACAGGTACATATACCTAGACTGAAATTATTATATAGTTATTTAAGTATAAAATATATTAGTACTGGCATAACTTTTTATTTTATTTTATTTATTAAATAAAAATTACCTTTTGCGTAGATGATGTAAAATAGAAACGCCAGTATAATAAACTTGTACACACTCATAGTGCCATTAAGTAATTATACAATTTTAAAGTACAATACTGTTTTTAAACACATAAAAAAGTCACTTCCTTGGTTTTGTGTCAAGAAAGTCATTCGTGTAAAGTTTTCTACGTAAAGATTTCAACGAGCGTACAGGAAAAGCGTATACGCCCAATTCCCTTCAAGCATCTAACCGAACTGATTACGGTGAGAAATATCACAACGAACGCGGTCGTAAGGCGCATGCGTCAACTTTTAAGGTTTATTTGGAAACAATTGCTAATAATAATGTTGTAAAGACATTTTAGCAATATCACTGAAACGGTGTAGTATAAAAGTTTTATAGAAAATTTGCTTTTTGCTGGTTACTTTATAAGCGTGGATTTCAGAAGTAGGAAAACTAATGAAATAGACTACTTCTAGTTAGCGTATTGAGACGAAACATATACCAGATTTTAAGTTAGACCTACAGGAATACTACTATAAAAACAGGGGAATTTGGTGTGGTTTTTGTGTGATGCTGAAAGAAATATACAGATAGACAGACAAAATAAAAAAAAAATAGTTTTGGCTCTTATACCCTTCATATTATTCCTAAATATCAACTGTGTTCTGACGTCGTTTACTTAGAATTTTGTCCACTATCATCTTGAACAAGAGCCTGGAGATCATTCCATATTCACTACCCTAGGTTTTTAATCATCAGGCATTTTCTAGGTTTTCGTACGCTATGACACGTTACTATATAGAATTCTGTAATTTCGTAAAAGCATTTTACCTAACTGGTGACCACGAAAATGATTCAGTATTCATCTATTAAGTGCTTATTATAGTACGAACGTAGGTGTTTATAGCCTACCTACTTAACTACTTTAGGATATTTTTATCATACAAGAGCTCTAGACGTAAGTACTTAGGTACCTATATAGTGAAGTAGGTATTTGAAAAACAAAGAAATAAGTGAAACATAATTTTTCCATTGGTATTTTATTATTTTTAATATATAAAGATTGAATACGTACCTATGTATACCATTACGTATACAATGGTGGGATCTTGATGGAGAATTCAACCTACTATTTTTTTTTATTTTAATGACATGAAAATTAAATGATTGCTACCAATGGGACTGGTGGTTTACTAACAACCGCTTCGCCCTCCCCCCCCCCCCCCCCGTGAAAGCTAGTCAGATGACTCATCGTGACAAATTTACCAAGATTAATTGTGGTAGTTTACAGGAGGGACCACATGAAGGTTGACCTGATATATTTCTAGCAATGAGGCTTTTAGACACTATTTCTAACATTCCCTTTCTCTAATTCTAAGTGTAACGGTAATTTTATAAACTGTTACTATGCCCATATATAATACGTCTAAACATGTATAACGGAAGATTAATGACCTCACCGTGTTTGCCGTTTCCGAGAATTGTTTCGATTTCATTCGGAAGTCTTCTTAAGAGGGCATACGGCGCTCTGCGTTGTCCTTGTCTCACACTGCGGGCCACAGCCCGTAGAGCCCGTGAAACCATCGCTGTATGTAACTTGTTACGCTCACAATAGAGGCTCATGTACAAACGAAGGCGTTATAAAAATTCTTTACATAAGAAGTCAATACCATTACATCTCCTATTAGTAGGAACTCTGTGGTAATAATAATATAAATATGAATAGGTAAACAGTGAATAGAAAGTACGGAATAAATAGCTTCGATCAAATAATGTTGACGTTATTTACTTACACAATATTAGTCTGTAGGTACATCAATGGAATCATTCTAATCTTCCTTCCTCAGCCAAGCTCAGTCGATTTAGGTGGATGATTATTTATACCGATGTCGAGGCTCTACTGTAAACAATACCCAACAATTCTAAAACGAACACGATATAAATTTTACTACCTATATTATAGGTATTAATTTTATCGCGCGGTTAGCAAATAAAGTATCTGACCACCTACCCTCATACTGCCTCGTAAAGGGAATTGGGGAGTGTTGAACCTTTTTATTAGGTATAATTTCCATTCGCTTTTAAAAAACGTACAAATTATGGTAGATTTACGTCAACCTAGCAAATCGCCGGTCTATTTCGTCTATTCCCACGATTTTTAATGCAAAAGTGACAGTTATACTAAACAAGTGAATCTAATCTCTTCCCTTAAATAGACTTTCTCTACACTCTTCTAATAGTTTTTATTGGTGTATCTGGACTGTTTAACGAACGTTATCTCTTTTGTTGCTAGATTTCATATGGTAATAACTATGTATTAGTCACTTGCTGTCAGTATAAACATACCTTAATTTTTTTGTTCTTGCTCTTGCTTTGTTCCAGCATTTTTTCCTGTGTTCTTTCTTCTTTTGAACTGCTCTACTTTTTAAAAGTACTAATATGGCTAAGTGCATTATTCATGAGTCAACTATAACATGAAGAATCTTAAACTCTTTGCTCTTTTAGTTTAAATTCATTTCCATGTTCATTAAGTGAAAAACGTCCATATGCAATAATAAATATATTATTTATTTATTACATTATAATTTATAGCCCGTGTGATCCCGGCATAGAAAAGGGGGTGGCCTATTCTATGCCTATATATAAATAAATGTGAAAAAAATTATAATTAATTAAATAATAAATTCTTATTTCTATATTGATTTGACGGGTCAAGCGAATAAAGCATTACAAATTTCATGTGCTCTTCGTTTTTTTAGCCTCACTGATGTACTAACAACAAACTTAAGTATGTACAGCTCTTATTTTGCCATTTCTGATAACTGTTGTTGGATAGTAACAAGAATGCTTTTAATTTAAGAAACTACTTTAGATTTTATATGAAAATAATCAAGAAATAAATAAGTATACTTTATTATTACACAACATAGACGATAACAAAAAACCACAAATAAATTTGATTAACTTGTATCAATACAAGTACGATAAGGCGGCTTTATTATAGCTATTTATTTAGGCTATTTATTCACGGTAAAAGATGGCGATTATAAGTCACAGAAAACTATAACCTTTCTAGTGCTTACGATATTACAATGAGTTATACATTTAGAGTTGCAGGCGTTCATGGGTTGCAGCGACTGGTCCTCCTTACTTGTAAGTTGGTCGTATTTTCGTTTGATTGCCACCAACGCCGGGTAAAACTATTATACGATTTCGCCAAGTGATAAATGGATTCGATTTTTTTTTTACTCAAAAAATACTTTATATGTTTTTAATATATCTTTTTTTTTCTAAGTTTAAAATTTTCTCATCGAATTATTATTAACCGACTATAATCACCTACACTCAGTAATCTACAACATTATAATTTTTTGTGAAAGGGCGACTAATGAGTATGCGGCTCACCTGATGGCAAGTGATTACCGCAGTCGATGGACACTAACGGCACCAGGGGAGTCGCTAATGTGTTGCTGGCCTTTTAAAAAGATATAGATTCTCTTCTTGAAGGTATGTCGTCTTTATTAGGAAATGCGCTGTTAGTAATTTGTTCCACATATCTACAGACGAGGCAGGAAGTGACGCGTGAAACGTACAGTAGTAAACTTGCAGGAAATTGTTTATTTTATCATAGGCGTACTTTGAGATTGCGCCATGTGTGCTCTGCTTGAGCTTTTAAGCGCAAAGGCGGATCTAAGAGTACATAATGTCTTTTTTAAGGAATCAAGCCTCCTTCTGGAAAATAATCTTAAATATGCCAATGCATTTTGCCCAGGCAAAGCTCTACTATGAACAAAATAATTGATAATATCCAACCAAAAAGTAATATTACGTAACAACCTGTATAATGATCTGTAGTGATTGGTTGGTGAGCATTTTTAATATTCCGTGATATTTTTAAATTTACATGATCTTTATATGACTTATCAGAAAACCCAGACTCTATTAATCGTCTCAATACACGGTTTACAGGCTTCACCAATGGAGAGAACTTTTTGAAAAATATTACCGCTGGACTGATAACTACTTTTTGTGACAAAATACGAGCTTTTATATTATGATTCCTTATTATGGTGATTGCGGTTTCCATATTCATTGCTATCACAAATTGCAGTCCATCTGATAATTTGTATAAAACTGGTATGATATCGCTAATATTTACTTCATTCCACCTATCATACACTAGAGGGTAATCAATGTAGTAGTCTTTCAAAGCCAGTCCACCCCCAAAGCGATAGTGTGCTGCGTACGCCTCTTCTATAGTTTCAAATTCTTTAAAATAATAATTTTTCTGTAACACTTGCATAAGGAACGCCTGGTAAACAGTACGCAACATAATGCAGTACCACATCCACAATATTACTATACTCATTGCACTACGATTTACAGGTAACTTTGTAGCCGGCAGGCCCATGCAAATTACCCAAGAGTAAAATATAACGCCGTAACGTGGTTTATATAAATTCATACTTTGGTTAAACCTACGCCAGAATTGGCTTCGCATGAAAACAGCACAAAAAATAACAAATGTAAAACTAATAAGAACGGCCACTTGAGTTGATAATTGGAATGGATAAATTAATTTTAAAGAAGAAGATTTCAAAGACGCACGATGCGTAATCCATACTATTTTAGTTGAGTGATAATCTATTGACATTTGGAAATGAGTAAATCTAGCGAGTGTGACAGCTGCGGAAGTCATAGAAAAGTTTGCAAAATTATCATAAACGTCTGCCAACGAACCGGTCCAGTTGCCGTCTTTACGTAGTGATCCCCAACCGTTACCACGGCGTGGGGTCATCATCACAAGAGTTGCATTTATTCTATCAGCAATTAGGAGTAACAAGTCCCCATCTGCACCTTTGGGCTTGCCGTCGACTATATTCATGTAAGGTGGTCGGACAAATGTAGAAACTATAATTGGACATCTATGCAAATTTGTTAGCTTCACAGGAAACATTTGGCTGCATTTTGTTTCATTAATATTCAGGCAAGTATTTAAAGTATTCAATTTGTAAGGTTTTATAGTATGACAGTCCTCATTAAAATTGTAAACATAACCATTTATTTCCTTACTACGAGATTTATGTTTTAAAAATACCACATTAATTATTTTGTGGCTCCAAAAAACATTGGCAGCTTCTTCTTCATCACATCGCGCGTCTATTTCTGATTCACAAATAATTAAATATTTGCCAGTGTTATCGAACTTTTGCGATTTCATCCAGTCTAGTGTGTTCATGATTTCGGTGATATCGGCACTAAATAATACGTATTGTTGCGTTTTTCGAGTGTGTCGTAGATAGACAAAATCGTTGACAATAATTTGACTTCTTTCATATGACGATATAAACGTTTGGACTCCATAGAACATAGAAGAATTAAAAATAACTAAAGTTACGTAGCGCCAGTCGAAATTGTGGAATGCTATTTTAGCTGCACTTTTTGCTAGTTTAGTCCATGTATATTGTTCGGAAGGTAAGATTCCATTTAAATTGGACTCAGTTGCTACAAACATGATGACAATATCAATTACGGGGGCTTTTAGGCCGCACGTGAGGTGTCGGAGCGAATAGATTGATATCTGGATATAGTGAATGGAAAGTGTATTGCATGATTGCTTTTAACCGTACCCTACTAGGTAAATCTAGGCAGTACTAACATTTTTTATAAATATAATATTTTAGTAATATGTTGTTAAATTTTTGGTGGCTCATAAAATTTCGATCCGATATGCATAAATTGTCAATTTCGGATAATTTTTTTTACATTCTGTTGCTATTATTTTTAACCAACTTTAAGAAGCTTCTCAACTTATCTGATTCCTATATTCCTATTGAATTGGTAACTTATCGCAACTAAATAATGTTTTTAGATTGCTCTTTCTTATTTTGGCATGTATCCTATTTGTTTGCAAGTAAACGAGTGAGAAAACATACTATGTCTTATATATTCATGTAATAAGTACAGACTTCCTACCCCAACCGGAACTGGAAAACACTAAGAATAACTAAAGTACTACTTTAGATCATAGTTGCAATTGCATCACATTGTAATGCAAGTACGATGGGATGTAAAGTCTATATTTCTATTATAGTTCCAGCCATATAGTTGATGGCACGAACTAAAGCAATTATGATAAAAATCACATATTTGCCATTTAGATATTTACAGTACGATAGATACATAACACTTCGCAATTAGTTTTAACCAACCATTTTATATCAGAAGTGATAAAGAAAACTACTCGCTTAGCTGAAAAAAATTATATTTTATGAGAAATTATAATTTACAATATTTCATTCAGGCATCCATCTTCAGTCGGAACTTAAGCTAAAATTCTCACAATCTCACGCAAAAGGTAAAGCAACGTTAGACTATAATATAGTTTAGCAATATTTTGTGTAGTCATCGCCCAACCGTAAAAACAAACAGGTAAGAACCACGCCAGTACACGTATTCAGTCCATTCGTAAGGAAGATACGAATGCGCGGCGCGAGCGGGCGCGCGGCGTTTCGACCACCCACATACTCTCACATACGATAAAATACAATGTGCTTTGTATAATTGTATTTAATAATCCGAATCACGCACTGGGTTTAAATAAAATTCATCTTACGAATATAAATCGATTCAATAAAACTTATCTAATTCACAAACCACCCGCATCTTAGTATAAATACAGCCGAAAACGACAACTCACGATTTGTTTCACAAAGCACACGAGTCGCCCCCGCGCCCGCACTCGCTTCCGCCTACGCCCAAGCCTGCGGCGGCCACGCCGGCCGCTCCGGGCCCAAAAACTAGTTCACAATATTGCTGTACAATTGCACAAAAGAAATATAGTTTCTATGTACAGGGCATACACAGAGATTGCACTTCAGTGGGTAACATTAATAGAAAGTTTTCCAATATTGTGCGCTAAGTATCAATTTCACTTTATTTTGAGCATTTCTGACAGCTGTATTTTAATTAAAGCATACAGTTTTGCTATTGACAGTATCGAATGCCACAATGCGCTTAACCTGTTCCGATATGCTTAGAGAATAAGAATGTATAAAGTAAAGACACAACAACGAATAAGTTAAAGGTTATATATAAATATATCATCAAAATAGAAACTTTGTTTCTTACTATACGTAAACAACTAAAATGTAACACGAAGCAACACACTAAATTAAGCATATTACAATAAAATACTCTAAAATATGGAAAACAATTATAAACATATTTATAGTTTGTGCTTTACGTTTACAATAAAAAAATTGCCAATAGCAAAACTTGGCACGGAACTGTCGGCTCAATTCACTCAGCACATTTAGACCCAAATGTACAATATATTACATTCATGTGGTAAAAGCTTTCGTGCAAAAAACATTTGGTTTCGGTTTTTACAATTCACATTCGCTTTATTGTATCCCTTGGGTTTCTAGTAAAAAAAGTTTATATCAAATGCATCAAAAATGTCCTTAAACAACTAACGTAGTATTTCCCTATACTTGACATACGGCTAGCTGAATGGAATTCTCATACACGGATAACATTAGGAAAGAACCAAATACACCAGACCACTGCGTACACAAAGCCTACAGTTAACGTAAAACATTTTGCGTGAAGTCAATTCGTGTAGAAAAACACCATATTTAAATATAAACAGCTTAAATAATAACATATATTCAAGTAACAAAATTTCCAATGTACAAAAGTAATCTTTAAATACAATTAATAAATATATAAATCTCCCAAGCTAACAGAACAAACGGTAATGATATTATAATGTATATTAAAACTTCATTCTATCAGTGGAGAGAGGTGGTTACTTAGAAGATGCTATCTTTAGTATACTGGTGCTACGTTCGACATACCTGAGGCATGGACACACTTCAGTCATGGTCATGGAAGTAAAACTTGAGCTTTGTATGCGATGCGATGTCTAAAAACAAATTGCGAGCTCAGTGATGTCGACGAAGTCCAGATCGAGCCATCTATCTATTTCAACCCTCCCTCTCCTTCTGACCCACAAAAAGCTCTGGATCGATCGCACTTCTACGAGACGTTTCATAACTTAAATAAATACGAAATAGTTTCACGGAAGCATCCCGATCGATACATCAGTAGGAAGTCCTGTCTCGACCCACGAGGGTGATATAAAACACGCGTAAGTTCATTGGACTAGTTTGTTCAATCCATCCGTCTGGACATAATAAAATGTATACTAATGTAGAAAGATATTATGGCAACAAACTTTACAAAACCCTAAAACAATGACTAAAAGCAGCTCATGGTAAGGCCACGACTTACCATAACTTTTAAAATGCACAATTTAATATTCACCGATACAGACACATACATAAATTGTGAATAACTTCATCATAAAAAAACATGTCAAAAAACCTGACGCGTCGTGAAGTGATCCGTTCGGAGCGACGGATCGAGAACGAATGTTGCCCGACGAGGGGGCGCGGCCGGCCGCCGACCGCGCCCCGACCTGATGCTAGTTTTGGGTTAAATGACTTACAATCTATCCTTACTTTCTCATTAAACATTTTAAGGTGAATAAGTTCGTCCATCCGATCTCAGTTCGTGAATTTACACATTCTGTCGTGAAGTGATGATGTTTAAATTATGTGTTATACACAATCACAGATTTGTGTCAGTGACCACGTTGGTTACGCTTAGACGAGGTTGTACTCCTTAAGGTTGGATTGTAGGATTGTGTCTTTGACTGCGGCGAACACGAAACGGATGTTTTCAGTGTCTGTAAATAGAAGTTAAGAAATTAATATAAGAGTAAACATTATAACTGGAAAATAAATCTATTATGAATCACATCCAAATTTCTTAGATACATCACCACATCTTCGAAGGTACAGATAACACCGAATACACCTGAATTAATAATAATCGATTGAAAACCACTGTATTTTGATATCTAAGTATCCAAATATCAATTGTTGTTCGTTACTTTCGTTTAAACTCGAAAACGGCATGTCCGATATTTCTTTTTTGTTTTTTTTTTTTTTTAAATTATAGTACAGGGGTGCTTTAAAAGATAAAAACTGAAAAATCCTAAAGTTCGGCTAAAAAAATAATATATTGCATGGAAATCGTTACTTCAGATTATTTTTAATAGATAACGTTGTATGTGGTACGGAGATCACCGTGACATTTAATTACTAATAATACAATGAAAAGTAGGTATGAATTGAACACCGTCCGTATTTTTTACAATTACAACAGTTAATGTATTTGTCATATTTTTTTAATAGTATCGTAACTGTAAATTTCCCAGGATTTTGTATTAAACTCTTAATGATTTATTATAATACCTACGTACCGGAGGCGAATTCAAGGAATCACAGTAAGAAAGCGGGAGTGCGTCGCGTTGAATCCAAGACTTTACCATTCTCGTAGTGCAATTATTTTACATTACATTTACTATCAAATATAACACTTCATAATTATGTTCTATTCTTTATTAAATACAGAGATGTATATCAAGAATTGTTCGTAAGACTTAATATTTATTCTTCTAGATAATTATAGTACTAAATATTTGCACCAATATTTCCAATTTCTTAATATTTATCTAAACCAGTGTTTCCCAACCTTTTTTTTGGGCCATGCCCTACTTGAATATTTCTAAAATTTTTATGCCCCATACATAATTTTTCCTAAAAATTTACATGAGGACTCTTATTACCCAGTTATTTTGGTAACGTCAAACGAAATTAATCTTAATAAATATTTACAGCATTTTTTTAATTTACTTTTTCTGTTAAATTTGGCATCCGATATCTACTCGTAGCATTGCATTTAAATGGCCCGGAGCAAGAGGGTTAAAATCGTTTCGAGTCCATTTTTTTATTGCCCCCCATGGGCCCCACGTTGGGAAACACCGATCTAAACTGTACCGTTTAAATGTTTAAATTTATATATGTGAGCATATTTTTAAAATTTACGAGGCATTTATAAATGTACGAAGGCAAATACTGATGATGATGATAAACCTCTGTTTTAACCTTCCATTTGAAGTACTAGGCTTTATACAGAAAATTGCCATGTGATCTCGGCGTAGTATGGGTTTCCCCTTCCTTAAACGTGGGTGTCGTAAGAAGCTTAAGTTAAGGGTACTTAATGGTCGAGGAGTGGGCAGCAGCGTCCAAAATAAATCATCACCAAAAGTCTATTTGCAATTGCCAACCCGCCTGCCAAGCACGGCAACTACTGGCAAAACCACCCTTAAAGAGGAGGTCTATGTTAACAGAGTTACGCTGTAGTATACAGAAAATGGAGAACTAGTAGGTAGATTAAGTTTTATTTTTCCTATAAGAAAATACCATCATAATGTTTTGTCTCCATCTTATACAAATACGAGTTAGACACTAAAGGAAATCCCGGTAACCTGTGCTTATTATTAGGTACATAAAAGTTAATTTGATATTGAATTTTTGAACATTTTGTTATTTTGTCATTATTAGTATTTCTTTTATTTATTTTTCAATTTACATTTATTTTTTGACGTTATAATTACCATATAGTCATTGATATTGTATATACGTGACCAGTCTGTGACACATTAAAAATATTTAATATGCATTTTATTGGACCCCATATAAATAAGTATTCTGATTGACAGACTGTTGTATTGACTAAACATTGTAAGTCAAGAAACAAAAGGGTATGAACTCCGAAATCGATAGCATCTCTTCCCGACATAACCATTCACATATTCATTTTGTTAGCTTTATGAAATAGGACGTAGATTATTGGCATAAAAGCATAAAGCCAGTAGAATGTTAATGTGAATGTATAGTTACTCTAGTTAAATAAATTCTAGGCGACTAGTATAACCATACTTCTGGACAAAATAACTAACTCATGAGCATAAAAGATGCTGAGGTTACTTATTAGCTCTTAGACGATTTTATAATTTGTGACAAAACGATATCGTGACCGTACACGGATATTTAATAGTGAGAGGCGCTATTAAATATCATACAATCACATTTATTTGTCTCTTGCAACGCTAAAATTATTATTTACAGTATAATTTAAAAGCGCTCAGTGCAACAAGTTCTTATAATATTAGTATATTTTTAGTAGTCTTTCCGGAGTTATCCATTCTTTAATCCCCACCACCACACTATAAAGTTCTTTTGTTTGCTATAGAGATAGTAGATATTTTGAGTAGATAATTTGTGTAAAGGTAAAATAAAATAACATGCATTAATAATAAAAATAAATATTTAATATATAATAACATGCCAGTAAGATTGAATTTTTTTATTGAAAGCGACTCATGCTAGATTGAACTCTTTGAGAGCAGACTGCATTATAGTATCTTTAACGGCACAGAATACAAGCTTAATATTTTCCGTGTCTTTATAAATATCCAAGGCAGCATGCAAAAATACAAAAATAAAATAAAAGTACATGCAAAAGTAACACAAACATAAAAAATATACACATTAATGAAAATATTAGATATAAATAACTAGTATATTATAAAAGTAAAACAGTCTTTTTGAGAATACCCTATTTGGCAAGTCACAAATTAATGGCAACTTGAATGTTTCATGCTTGCTTGTCGTACTGAGAAGCCGATAGGTAGTTTTAGAAACACTAGGGGCTCGAATCAATCGAATGCTTGATTTACGACAAGATGTGGCTGTTGTGTCGATACAGTAAAAGTCACGATTAAGGCGTGTATAATTTAGCTTCATTATAAATCTTTAAAAACATTATGTATATTCGAATTCAATAAAATCTAATAAATGACATAGGACTAAACATTGTATACTCAGCCAAATTTAAAAGACATCTTGCTCTGAGGGCGCAATATTAAAAAATTAGAATAGTTTTATCAGCTTGAATCGGCTCTCTATAAAACATGTAAATAGGGTATCTTTAGTCTTCCATATACAGTAAAAATATAATTTATATAGGATTTCACATGACAACAAGAAGTCAATAAAAATAATATTATTGGTTTTACTTGTAAAGTAAAAGAATATTGTTACGACTGAAAAAAAAAATTATACCATTGACAGAAAAAAAAAGTTACAAGCAGTAAAATCTAAAATACAATATTAGTAGAGCAAGCACTACTTTAGACAAACAGCAATGATCTGCCGATAGATACATTTTCCCCGCTGAATGAGATAACGAGATAGTTTGTTGTTTAACATACGTTAAATAAAAAGACATAAAACTGAAAAATAAAACACATCTACTGATAAGTACGTTTGCCACTACTTATAGAGGGCGACACAAATATTTACATTGCAACAATTACTACTTCTAAACTAGAAAATAAAAAAAAAAAAAAACTTCTAAACTATTAACAGAAGCCATAATAAAATAAAAGTAAAATACACTTACCGTTTTTAATCCGTGAATATAATTATTACTAAAAACTATGAGTTTATAGGTTAGTGCAGACGAGGGATATTTTGTCCACGGAGTTTTGTGTCAAAGTACAAGATACGTGCGCGTGGTAGCCGATAGTTCTGTTCATTACTATGATAGACAAAGACATACACCTACAGTAGGTTCCTTGTATCTGTAGGTCTTAACGACTGACAATAAAATATGCCGTAATCATTTTTTTAAATATACAAAGTGCAGTGGTTATAAATTGTGTATATCGGTATTTATACTGAACCTAGATGGTGTAGCGGTTTAAACAGAAAATCTTCTTTTTTCTCTTTTCTTTTCCAATTTTAAGTTTGGTCAGTGAAATAAGATATAATATGTATATATTATACCAGAGAGAGACTTTGTACAAAAGTCGATTGCTCGGGTACCTCTGTCCCATTCGTGTTTCAACCGTGAAGCAGTTGTGTTTGCATGGCTGTGTTTCGGTTTGAAGGGTGGGATATGGCGTGAATTTACAGGGTACAGAGGAATAACACCTGAGTCCTCAGGAATGGCAACGCATGGGGGTATCATGGGCAAAACAGTATACTCTGTTATGTCCATGGTACTGCTCATGTCTATAGGCGACGGTTACCACTTTACAACAGGTGGGCTGTCAGCTTATTTGCCATTCTAAGTTGTATAAAAAAATATATACATAAAAAAGATTTAAATGTTTATCATCTGTTCATCATTACCAAAAAAAATCAAATGTTCATCATTACCTATGGTACAAGTTTTGTTAAGTGAAATATAATTTCAGAAATAGTGATACAGTTTACAGAGTGTAGAGTCTATTAACATACTATTAATAATACTCCATGATTGTTAGTAATGGGGTTAAAGGGTCCCATTGCTTGCAATATACTCTGTAAAAACCATTGTGTTTAATACCTGGTATGATAGGATCATTGACCCGATTTCCTCATCTATCATCTCACTCGAGTGAGGGTATCAGTGAGTACTGATATCCCGTCAACGTATATATTCAGACGGGGTTACCATTCCATTTTCATCTTAAAAATACGACCAGTGGTATTTATTGTTATTATTATTATGATGATTTCACTCACCTGTCGCACAAGTAAAGTGTGAATAGATGATTTTATCCGCGTCTGGATTAAGGTCAACGAACATCCGCAGTATGAACTCGCGCGCTGCGATCGCGTCGCGTTGCGGACCTGAGTCGTAACACACATTCACACATCTAGCCATACTACATATTTATATTCTTCACTGACATTGAAAGTTTTGGCTAACAAATTATATATATTATACAAAGAGTATATAATACATAATTCGATTTAAGTTTGTCCTCACAGATTATAACAGTAATAGTTTAAGTTGATTTCATATTAATGTTGCTGACATATTGGTAGCCTATATAATCATTAAAATTTTTTTTTTTTTATTTACTCTTTGATTATATGACAATGAAGAACAATTACAGATTGTAAAATCTGCCACATGTTCTTGTAAAATTTATCTATAATAAAATTAATTTAATAGATTACTGCAAAACTTTCAATATCTTTGAAGGAACGGTCATAGCAATAGTCTACAAACTAAATAAATATAGCGAATTACCATAATCGTGATCACTAGCTGTTGCTACAAAATGATTGTAAGAGATTTATTCAACCTGTGGCTGTTGTAAAATGCGAGTAACATGATCTGTCTGGATCTGGGTTTTCCTTTAGATATTTCTGTAGTATATATTCACGTGCTGGTATTGGGTCGCATTTGGGACCTATTTTTAATACGTCATTATTATTTATTCAGATCAATAATTAGAAATAAGTCATCTTAGAACATTACAGTAGATGGCGCCATTGACAGAAGTTCTTCTATGTAAAATATAAACAATACTATTAACTCTCTCGATCGAAGTAAGTTGAAAAATAACAAAATGTATTTTGTTTCAATATGTTCTGTCGAGTTTGACGTTATTATATGTAGTAGGGGCAGCTGAAACATTCCCGATTACCCTGAGATCAGTTTTTTTTATTAAAAAAAAAAGTATCGCGTCTCTATAGACGATCATAGTGGAGTCTGGGATTCGTCATAAAAGTAAGAGGATAAGTTTGTACTGTAGGATTCGTTTCTGCGTATTATGACTTATCAAAGGCTGAAAAATTTACGTTTTTGATAATATGTGCTACCTCATGCCCAAAAAATTACTTACACTTTTATTTATAAATTGCATTATCGGCGCTTTCTATTAACAATGCTCTAAGACGCAAAGCCACTTTGTGTAAAAATCTATCTTTACTTGTCACTTACTAATATTTATATAACTTTTAATATATTTATTTTTAAATACCTTCGTATTCTGGAAAATAGTCGACAAGATGCGAATACATGATCTTCTCTTCAAGCAAGTCCTTCTTGTTCAAGAAAAGGATCACAGATGAATGCTGGAACCAAGGGTAGGTGATGATCGTCTTGAACAACGCTTTTGACTCCTCCATTCGGTTCTGTAATTGAATACAAATAATAATTTTATTAGATATAATAGTAATAAAGATGTGATGTGATGAGGATTGTTTTTTTTTTTAAGTTACAATACTCAGAATAGCAAACAAGCTAACAGCTCACTTCACAGAAGTGGTAAATGTTGTCTATAGACATGAACAGCACCATAGACATTACAAAATATACACACTGACATGCTCATGAGAACTAGGGTGTCTAATACCTCCAAACCCAGTAATTACATTGTTATAGCATAGCCTTCAAACTGAAACTGCCGTTTCACGGCAGAAATATCAGTGCGACAGAAAAAGTCATACAGACGAGATCGTACAATCCTTTCCCTCCCTTTCATTAACCTCTAACGATGAGTTGACCTGAGTCTTTATCCGTATTAATTAGTATATAAAGTATCCTACATGCTAAGTTAGGATATAATCTACCTGTGTAATAAATTTCATTCAAGCCTGTTTTAGTTTTTGCGTGAAAGAATAACAAGGATCCCATCCATCGTTATAAACTTTTGAGTTTATAATATTATTGAAATGTAAGTTCAAATATTAAAAAAATATTATACAAATGATTTTTTACATATTCACACTCTCACATAGGCTGTATTTAAAGAATCTTTATTCATTATATTCATTACCAGCGGTTTCACGCATGTGAATCAGAATATAAAATATTCTATGTGTTAAGTTATGATACATAAATCAGGTGAGCCGTCAGCTTATTTGCCATTCTAGGTTGCATTGCATTGGTTGCATAAAAAATTTACCTATGTACCAAATTTCACTAAAATCCGTTCGAATTTCACTAAATAGCTATTGAGTGAAAGAGTAAAAAACTTTCATCCATTCATTGTTACAAACTTTCTTATTTATAACAGTATGGGACTATTTTAAAGTCCATCTGATAAAAAGTGGTAATTGTCGCCTATATTATTCTAATAGTCAACAACTAGGCTATTCTGTAAAGATTCGCATTAATATTATAACTTACTTCACTTTAGCTTTCACCAAAATTTTCACTTTATATGTGTAATCTTTCGAAATGGCAATTATAGTGATATGAGTTTGGAAAATTAAAATGAGTACCTAAAAATGGTAATTCATTGAATCTAGTTTACCATATAACCACCTTAACAAAATGGTGCTGTCATCGTTTTTACTTCTATATAGAATACCAAATATAAATCACTAGTGGATCAGCTAGTGAAATTAGAGCTTATTTTTAAAGAATAGCCCTACACAATTTATAATATATATCGTTATTGCATAATAAATAAATTGGATAATTACCTCATTTTCAGACTCGAATAAAATTTGATCATATTCACTAAGAGCTACTAAGAATATGATAGATGTGACATTTTCAAAACAGTGAATCCACTTCCTTCGCTCGGATCTTTGGCCCCCGACGTCCACCATCCTGTTAAATAATAGAAAAATAATTACCCTATTACACAAAGCGTTTAAATGTTGTAATTATCAATATCTCTGTAGCTTCATGCTATCATGCCAGCTCCTTTTTGGAGTAGGCAGAGGAAATGAACTGCTAAGTTTTCATTCATACATACATCTATTATTGCTTATATATTTATCCACTTTCATAACTCATTTCATTCACGATAATTTTGGAATATTACAGTACAATGTTGCATATTATATGCTTGACAGAAAATAGTACATACATGAATCAAATAATTGTACAAGGCGGTCGAAAACAAAGGTGTATATTAAAAATATATTTTAAAAAACATATTTTAATTGTTAAATGGAATTACAACTAAAACAGTAAAAATTTTGTTATTAAGACTTTTTACGAAAAATAACATTCTATTAGGAAATATAAGCAATCTTAAATTGTATTTGCGACCACCTTATATAAGCTCAATAAGATAAGGGTAGGATGGAGTGCATTTTTCGTTAAAAAAGGATTATGTTGGTCTATTATTAAGCATTATTTACATTTAGTATTATACTATATTTTAAATATGTTAATGCATTACTGTGTTAAAACAATATGATAAATTAAACCAAAATAATAACAATTCTCCTAATAAATCAAAGTTATTCACAGTAAAATGATACAGCAAAATGATCAATAATTTAATTGATTTTTCATATTATTTCATGTTACAGCATAAATATAATAAACAATATTGTTATTAACATTGATATTCTCCGAACCACAAATTTTGGGACATGTCAATTAAATTATTGTCCTATACCTACATCACCTTTATTATTTTAATTCAATAAGATCAATCAGTATAAACAATAAGAAAAAAAGGGAAGCAATTAAGACTTAGCTTGAGAACATAGAAAGCAAAATATTCATATAATGGCAATAAATAAACAATGTATGTACTTAAATATAATTAAAACTAATGCAATAATAAGCAGCAAAATATTAAGCGATTTATTTCAATCATTAATAATACAGAAAGGAGAGCGACAGAATAAAAAAAAATTGTAATAACTAGCAATATACATACAGTAGGCCCCCGTATATGCGAAGATGAATATTCGCGACGTTTATAGACTGGAGAATTGACTTGTTTCGTGAGAAAAATGGGATTTTGACTCAGTGGAAGGTGTAGTGTAAAAATAACACCATATATTTGGAGTCAACTCTTACTATTGGTAGCATCAGAATTCTATACCAGATACAAATATCTTAGGAAGGTCAGTGCTAAAGACACTTCAATGTGATATGCTCCTTCGGCTAACTTACGTCAGACGAATATGACTGTGAACTAAAGACACTATTATGAGTCTAAGCTCAGCGTAATCTTGACTCCATTACAAGTATATAGTGTGCGGGTTTAATCTTAGATATGATCAACGACCGTACGATCATACAGCCGTTGTTCATTTCTATTCTTTGCTACTTAGGTAATGTGCAAGTGGGTATTCTTTTGCCAGGCATTACCTGAAAATATTGTGTCGTTTATTATCGGCAAACCCCCATATCCGCGGAAGACAGCAGAAAGGAACCCCCGCGGATACGGGGGTCCTACTGTATAAAGACAGAATAACAGATAAATTCCATCATAGAAGACAAAAATTGTAACAAAACTAATTGCATGAAACTCCAAAGATTCAAAAGACTAGAGAAATGATATGAGCGTTACAAAATAACATATAAGAAGAGTAAACTAAGAACTATATATCTAGCAAAAAAATAATAATATTATGTTAGTATCCAATATTGTTCTAGTATTAGGCACACATTTTAAACTACAGCGAGCAGAATAAGCAATGTATATATAATTTGTTAGTTTTTTAAACCACTAAAATAAGAAATATATTAATGGTCTTCCGGATAGTGGTAACCATTGCTTATAGACATAACCATGGATATCACGAAACTATGCCATTCATAATACTCCTCATTGGTCGCTACTCGTCAAACCAAAAGAACTTTTTAATTTTTATAATTTTCTTTGTTATTATTACAAGATTTGCATATAGTTTTTAATTTTATAGTATACAATAATTAGGTAATTTGATAAGAGAGAGAAAAAAAGTACTCAGGCTAGTATAACATAACAGACATTATAAACAGTCTAGCTCAAGATTGCTTCAATCGAAAGGAAATCGCTTCGTAGAATTGTTTACATCGTAGTAACAGACGTTGAATACATGGTAAGTTGTTAAAAATATATTTATATTGTACAAATTCTTAACACACTAATAGATGTGTTAAAACGTATTATTTGGTCAATATAATAATTATTTATTAATATATGGCAGGCACAACATCAAATCCCGACACATTAACATCGATAATTTCATAAATGTTGTTGAGTATACCGAACATAATACGAATACAAGTGCATTAGGTATATTGGGATATCTAGCACACCGCTTTGGAATTCCCGATAATGGAAAAGGAAACTACGATTGTGGGGTCGTGAGTAAAACCATTACGTGTCAAACAGTTAGTAGTTTCAATAAACACTACGGGGAGAGATCACGCGGGGTGACAAACGTTACCTAAATATGATTCCGTCTAGATCAAAGGGATACTCAAGAATGCCCGTAGTTGGCTGTCGAGCTCGGAGGATATCCTGTTCGGTAGGAAGATAGTCGTCCTTCTCAATTCTTGCCAGATCGCTTAGATAACTGAAAAACCATTCCATGCAAATCTAATAACTAAGCCAGTGTTATGCATGCAAACGTAGAGAACTCACCAAATTAATTTATTTGTAAATAACCGTGTCATCTCAGTGTTTTGTTGAGTAATGTAACAGAACACTGAGATGTTTTTCGTTTAAATAAACATGTTATTAGGTATATGATTTGATTGGTTACGCCGAGGTAATAGAATAAGAGGATCAACATAGGTAAGTTCTCAAACATAGACACAAAAAGAAAAAAAAACACATAACACGAAACACAAGAGTCCCCATCGCTGTATGATAAACATGCGGCTCGAAGCGAGTCATGCGGCATTAAACCAACGTGTTTTACCTAAATCGTATCTCCTCCAAATCAAATGGGTATTCTATAATGCCCGTTGTGGGGACTCTCACACGGAGGATGTCCTGTTCGGTTGGTAAGTAATTGGGCGCCGCCACGCGGTCGATCTCCTGCAAGTAGCTATAGAAAACACTTTTCTCAGTTTCCGGACCATAAAAGCAAGTGGATACTGCACGCCAATCAAAAGAACACGATTTATGAGCGTTGCTCTGTTAACTGGGACGTAAAGCATATGTTTTATCACAGTGGCGTCAATTGCGCTTTGATATGTCACTGTTTGCCGTTTGCAATTCTCTATTTTAAGATATCTGATTTTGATGTTTAACATAAAAAAGAACTAGTACAGATGTTTTGGATAGTATTTTCAACAACAGAAGCAACAATAGTAGGGTTCATAAACAAAATTTTTTAATGTGGCTTCCTAACAAATAAAACGTTTAATGATTGCCACTAGCGGGCATGGATTTGAAACAAAAGGGGAATAGAGCCCATTATTATCACGTTACCAGGCGCCAGGCGGTTTGATGTAGTTTTGTTCCTGCAGTGATTTTAAAAATGAAATAAATAAAAATTAGCTCACATCTAAATTTCCAGATGGGGTAGTCAGAGGTTTATTACCATGTCGGTTAGGTTTGTTCTGAATTTTATTCCAGCAGTGGTTTTAAAAATCAATTAAGTGAATATATATACTCAAACTGCAATACGCGATGGGGTAGTCAGAGAGTAGTCATTACTCTACTTTTAAGAGTGACGTAAGATTCGTATTGTGCGCAATCCGCCGAAGATAATTAAATTTCAAGTGGCAGACGGCGGCTACCAGTGACCCCCGGTATTTTTTATTATTAAAATTTTGATATTATCAGACACGCAATTTTTGATGTTAAACCTTTTTGTTGTGTAAGTTTTAACAAATATAAACTATATAATAATTATAATTTGTAATAAATATAAATTTAAATGATAAAACAATGTGGAGTCAATCCACTTAGCTTATTAATTTCCATATCATTTTGCCTCACCATTATTTATATTAGGAGGATTACCTACATACGAGTTCGATTGATTACTCATGAATACATGCCAGAATACAATACCGCGTGTGCCGTTGGTGAGGTAATCGTTATATTGCCCATTTGATTTATTAATAATGTTTTCTAAACTTGCCATGTCGGTAACTAATAATGATAACATGATTTTACTTAGCGGCAGACACCAGTACAATCTCTGTTCGGGCCATTTATATGATATATTACTTTGTATTAGATAATAAAAAAATATTAATCAAGTAACCCCTGACTTGATCAATACCCTAACTTTATAAATATTTTTTACCGTCTACATTTAAGTAGTTACATAGAATAAAATAAAAAAAAAAAATATATTTCATTTATTTTGACATAAATATAAGTAAAAAGGAAAACTAAAAATATGTGTGTATAAAAAACAATTTTCCTACAAAATTTTTTCTTCTTATTATAAAACGAAATCGGCACCAGAATATAGCACGGTTTACCAAAATAAATATACTCGAAATATGGTTAGTGACACTTACTATTTGGCTGAATCGGTGAGCTGGTACTCTCGCCTGCGATCGTAACACTCTTGTATGCCGGAGTCGGACCATAGCGCCTTGATTGCCTCCACGTATGGGCTTTCGAATGTTGTTACACTCTCAAAGTCAATCGATGATATCAACTCCGCCTTTTCCTGTAATTTGTAAGACGATTGTGTTGGAAAGATATATTTTAAAAATTAAATATAAATACGTTCATAACTGTATTCCTTTATGAGGTATATTAGGATTAAGGAAGAGGGTTACCTAATAATATAGCCAAGCGCTCTTTTTGCAGCTGCTTCTTGTAAATTGATGCATGAACTGACTTTAATCTCATCTATTATCCCTACTAGTATTTCGCTAACGGTTACTCTATTGGTAATCATTAGCGTAGTATTAGATAGGCGGGGTTACGAATCCATTTTCATTCATAACAAATATGGGGTACTATGTGATATAGTTTATCAATAGGGTTTAAAGATGTGAAAATTTAATGATGATACTTAAACATGATTTGAATGAAACTTGGTACACACGTGGACCATTTTCGAGATTGGATGTTAACGCATTGATTACTTTTTATTTTATTCTACAGTTCATAAATTTGAGACAATAACTCCTAAATATTTGTCTATGCCTATTTTTTTAACAAAGTACCCCAAATTTCGTATGGGCTGCATTGTTACTTCGACAATGTTAAGCTATTCATAGAGCGGGAGGTTTCCACTTCATGTTAACGTTATTGAATTTGTAACCCAACAAAATTAAAGAAAGGAATCGATTTTATAAAAAAATTGTTTCAATATATAAAAATTGTTTAAATGGGTTTAAACTCATAAAATATATTACATGTATAAACAACACACTCTATGATTCGATAGAATATTGTTATATACAGATAAATGCTATCTAATAATAATTCTATTGGCATGTTTATGAGGAAAATATGGCAATTATGGAATTAGCATCAGCTGTGTATAATTTGTAAATGCCATTAGCTCACTACACTCCTATGTAATTTAGTTGCGGTTTCAAATTCCCCATTCCGTGTTAAAACATGTAGTTTTTTTGGAAGCTTGGCGCAGTGACTGACTGTACCCATTTAGATACCAGTCGTCAATTTATTGTCAGCAATTTATTGAGATTCCAAATTTTGTATATATATAATATATATATATATATATATATATATATATATATATATATATATATATATATATATATATATATATATATATATATATATATATATATATATATATGTTCGCGACATTATTTGTATATATCGTAATTTATAGTTGTTAAGTCCCTAGTTAATCGTTTCTGTATTCTGTTATTTTATATAGATTTACATAGATTTAAGATAGTGTAAGTTAAATAAAGTATTCCTTTGCGTGTTGTCGTTATTACCTACGAATAGAAATTGTAACAATAAATAGAATTAAGAAATTGTAAATTGAAATAAAATAAATAAATAGACGCTATAGAGTACCGATCTGAAGAGACACGCGTCTCGTTCATTTTCGCCCCGTCCCGCTCGCACAGATCGCTATCGCGAGTTGGAAACGTTATCGTGCGAGCGGGCGGGTATAAAGATAGGCCGCCTCCCGTCGAGCGGCATTCGCTTCCGGGCAGCGACGCACTACACTCGAGAAGAAATAGGACAAGAAGAAAAAATACTCTCTTCAGACGGTACCGGAGGCTTCAGAATAGTAATCCCTGTGTTTCACTCCAGCCTGAACCAACGCCCCTACAGTCCACGCTCACCGAACGGCAGTCCACACCGCACATCGTGGTCCTTCGAGAAGCCGGATTGCTGGAGGAACACCGTTGGTACATCGAGAAGCCGGATCGCTGGAGGAAGACCATTCTGAAGCCGGATCGCTGAAATGCCGACTACGAGAAACATGAAGTCGTCGCAACAAAAAATCGCCGTCACCGAAGCCACAACGTCCGCCGCCACCACGTCGACTACGGCCGCCGGAACGCTGTCCGTCGCTGCCACGCCGTCCGTTGCTGCCACCACGTCGTCTGCGGCTGTCAGAATGCCTTCTGTCGCTGCCACGTCGTCTACCGCCGCCACCACATCGACTACGAACACGTCCGGCGATACGACGACCACAGGAGCCACGGAGACTACCGAAGCCACAGGAACAACAGAGGAGACAGCAAGGAAGAAGGAACCGAAGCACGGCACGGCACGCACGGTTCGCACCACGGCCTCGCAGAAGAAGAAGGCTCTGGCCAAGGCACGGGAGGAGCTACTTCGAAAGGAGGTGGAATTGGCCGCCGCACGTGTCGCCGCCCTGGAAGCCGAATCAGAGGACGACGAGGAAGTAGAAGACAACGACGCTACCGTCAGAAGAGAACGAACGTCGGATTGGGTTCATCGAAGCACGCTAGCACTCACGATGGAGCCGCATGTACCAGAGATAGAAGAAGTCACCGGCAAGCGTCAGGGGTTCGTCCCATCGAGACCCGTTGAAGAGGATTCGAGAGCGCCGCCGCCACAGCCGAGCAGCGACGCACTTCACCGGGACCACGCACGCCACGTTGACCCACATGCCGCCATTCCTACGATAGCAGCAGCGATGCAGTCGATGAAGAAAGAAGAACCGGTGCTGAAGGTGGGCATCGATTGTAATGAGTTTGCGATCGCCATGCAGATGGCCGCTCGCAACATACTGCCCTCCACAGCGTCAAGAGTCACCGAGTTGCCAGTCTTCAATGGATCGTCGAGCGAGTGGTTACCATGGAAGATGGCCTATGAAGAGAGCGCAAGTCAACTCACAGAACAAGAGAACCTAGCAAGACTGCGCAGAAGCTTGAAGGGGGCCGCAAAGGACGCGGCACGCTCCCTATTCGTCGGGTCTACGACCGCAGAAGAAGTAATGAAGATGTTAGCCGCGAGGTTCGGCCGCCCTGGAGCACTCGTCACAGCCGAACTGAACAAACTCCGCGCGCTACCACGACTCTCGGACAACGCAAGAGACGTCTGCCTCTTCGCAAGCAAGGTGCAGAACGTCGTCGCCACGATCAAGAGTCACTACCTATACAACGAAGAAATAGTGAGAAACGTCACAGAGAAGATGCCGTCGGTACTACGCTTCAAGTACTACGATAACGACCAACCGGAGGGACAACCGGACCTCATAACACTCTCTCAGATCCTGCAAAGGACCGCCGCACGATGTGGAAACTTCGCCCCCGCCGAGGAGATACCGTCCGAAGACCGGCGGGAGTCCGCTCCTAGGAAGACGGCGAAGACATACACGACGCAGGAGAAACCCGCTACACCACCGTGCCCGATGTGTCGACGAGAGGGACACGCTCCATCGGACTGCAAGACGATGAAGGAAGCAGACACATCGGCGAGATGGGAGTTAGCGAAGACTCATAGGCTGTGTTTCCGTTGCCTCAAAGTAAGAAGATTTCGCCACGCCTGCAAGAGCAAGAGATGTGGAGTAGATGAGTGCACGCAGACTCATCACCCTCTGCTGCACACCACGCGACAACAGCCGGAGAATGAAGTAACAACACACGTCGTCGAGGACAAGTTGCAATCACCGCATCGGCAAGGGAAAACGACAAGATCGCGTTCCTGAAGATCCTGCCGATATGGGAACGTGCGACACCTACGCGCTACTGGACGACGGGTCGACTTGCACCATCATCGAGACGACGGTGGCGGAGCGAATCGGTGCTACCGGTCCCACCGCACCATTCTACATGGAAGGTGTGGCCGGGGCGCGGATCAACGCAGCTCAATCGACGCGTGTTCACTTCAAGATCCGCGGGCGGAATTCACAAGAATACACAGTGGGGGCACGGACGATGGACAGACTGCAGTTATCACCGCAGTCGGTACCACGCAGCGTCATCAAGGGCTGTCCACATCTGCGGGACATAGAGAGGGAATTGGTCTACGAAGAGGGCAAACCGACGGTACTGCTGGGGCAAGACAACTGGCACCATTTAGTCAGAAGAGGATCCGACACGCAGCCGGTCGCATCACTCAAAATTGGGATGGGTTGCACGGTACGAGTCGCGGCAGGACAAGACAGCAGGTGCACAGAATCAGCCACATAGTGACGACACATTGAAGAGGAACAATCGATGGAAGAAATGATGAAGCAACATTTCGCGCTCGAATCGCTGGGGATCGCACCGAAGAGGTCTATATGAAGAAGAACGTCGCGCCCTATATCGTCCGTTACCGGCGGGATATATTATGGAAGAAGGACGACCCTGTATATATATACTATATATATAAGAACAGTGGCCGCGTGAAGATATATATATATATATATATATATATAAACTTGTTCGCAGTAGCACGGGTGTTGCAGTTCATCGACCTACCAGTATATCCGAAAAAGAAACAAGAAGAAAGAGAGCGCCGACCCCACTATCGATAGAGAAGACGAAGATATATATAGTCCATATATAGACACACACTACCTAGATACGACTATGGAATACAACAAGAGGCGTTCGGCAACGAAATCGCAGTATTGAAACATAAACAGCTGCCGTCATCCAGTCGACTCATACAGCTGTCGGTCGTCATTTCTGCGACTTCGATCGAGAATAGCGGCCGCCGCCGATTTGTCAGCCGAGCAACGAGAGCCCCCATCGTCGACGGAAACCACGCCTGGGTGCGCCTATATCGCATGGGTGCATCGGAAACTTCACCATAGATCACCACGAACGAGGTGCGACAACACTTGTGGGTGTTGCGCCTATCCGCAGTGAACTGAAGAGGTGTCATTAGCCATCAACTCCACAGAGCAGGTTGGCGCATCATCAACGACCGTTCACGTTCACCGGCCTAGACTAATGACCGTGACAGTTCACCAGAAACGATACGGAGTGCTCTTCAAACGACGCGCGCAGTCCACCTAGAAATCGCCGGCAGCCTCAGCACGGACTCCGCCATAATGGCCCTGCGGCGCTTCATAAGCCGCAGAGGGTGTCCCACTGAGCTATGGTCCGACCAAGGCACCAACCTCAAAGGTGCTGACGTCGAACTGAAGAAAGCAGCCGAGGAAGCCATCCAAGAAGAGTCATCAGTCCATTTCATCCGGTGGCGCTACATTCCCCCGAGCGCACCCTTCATGGGAGGTGCGTGGGAACGGCTTGCGTAGCGTGAAGACCGCACTAGCCGCCACGTTGAACGAGCGGGCCCCCAAGGAAGAGGTCCTCCACACTCTGCTGGTCGAGGTCGAGCACACCCTCAATAGTCGACCGCTAACCCACGTGTCAACATCGGCAGACGACGACAGCGCCCTAACCCCCAATCACTTCATATTGGGCGGTCCATCGCGCGTCCCACTGCCAGGCATTATGCCATAGCTGATTGCTTCTGGAACCGGTGGGTGAAGGAGTACCTACCCGTCACACAAATCAAAATGGATGGTCCTGATAGCTGATGGGACCTTGCCTCGCAACACGTGGCCGCGAGGCGTGGTGGTGGCGACCTAACCAGACGGCGAGATTTGCGGACGAACAAGGGCATCCTGCCCACATCGACATCGAGCGACGCGATTAACTCCAGCTACGAGAGCTGCGGCGGGAGATATATATATATATCGTAATTTATATATATATATATATATATATATATATATATATATATATATATATATATAGAAATTGTAACAATAAATAGAATTAAGAAATTGTAAATTGATAAAATAAATAAATAGACGCTATAGAGTACCGATCTGAAGAGACACGCGTCTCGTTCATTTTCGCCCCGTCCCGCTCGCACAGATCGCTATCGCGATCTTATCGTGCGAGCGGGCGGGTATAAAGATAGGCCCTCCCGTCGAGCGGCATTCGCTTCCGGGCAGCGACGCACTACACTCGAGAAGAAATAGGACGATAAAAGAAAAAATACTCTCTTCAGACGGTACCGGAGGCTTCAGAATAGTAATCCCTGTGTTTCACTCCAGCCTGAACCAACGCCCCTACAGTCCACGCTCACCGAACGGCAGTCCACACCGTTCAATATATATATATATATATATATATATATATATATATATAAGTAAATGCTCAAAACTAGATTTAGCATTGATCAAGCGCGAATCCACCGTTGTGGGTACAATGGGCAGGCCACCTTAATAGACTTGGGACCAAGTACTTTCACGATTTACACATACATATCGATAAAATTATAAAAATTTTCAAGAAAAGAAACAGAAGATTAAATTTTCAATTACAATAAATAATAGCAGTAACCGTCTCAGTAGCTTAGATTCTAATAGCTGAGTGAATCAAATCTACAACAATTTTGACAGTTAACAGTTACACTAACTGGTAATAATGTAATTTAACACATAATGTGACTAGTCAAAAATTATCTTTTTCTGTAAAATTAACTGTTAACAGTTAAAAGTAGAAACATCACAATTTTGATCTTAACCACAAATTTAACCGTTGATAAATTTTAATGCACGTGGCTATTAATGTGACATTGTGATATGCAAATAAACACATATTATAGGTTTATTAATTTACTAGTGTTTGCTATACACTGTACATCTTGGTCAGGGCATCATATATTTTGTAAACATCTGCTTTGTAGGAATTATATGGATCATGAGCGTGTTCATACTTTTACTCGTATTTGGCCGATTTCCGGGTGACTACGACCATAACATTTTTTGAGAGCTGGATTTGGGTTTGTTATTGATATATGATAGTTGCGATGGTTTTTACAATACTTTAGTTTTAGATTTTACTACTGTGTTTTGCCAAATATTTTTATAAAGTTAAAAAGATGAATTAAAAATGCTTATGATTTACTTTGCATTCTGATGAATATATTTGTATTTTGATACAAATATATTCGCAAATGGCAAAAAGGTGAGGTTTATTCTCGGATTAATTAGGTATGTTAACGCTGTTTATCATAAATGGAGAGTTAAATATAACGGTAAACTGATTAAGTCTTTATTTTCAGTGTTAGACAGATTGGAGCTGGCAACCATTGGGGTCTTAAAACATAGGATAATATAGTATTTATATTATTAAACCGCAAGAGCGCGATGTATAAAATTATATTAGAATGTGATATAAATACTCACTACATTGGACGGATTCCCGTATTGTATTTTGAGTAGATCCATAGCGCGTATCATACTTTGCATCGCCATAAAGATGTTCTGATAGACGAGCTTGATAAATCCACGCTTGTCATCGTCGCTGTAGCCGGAGCCGTGGATGATTCTCATCTGCTTGATAAATGTTGACTTGCCTGACTCGCCAGTACCTATTGAATAGAATTGAATCATAAACAAATGCGGAATGAACTTCCTGCCAAAGTTTTCCCTAGAGACTACAGCATGGAATCCATTAAAAAGGGCGTAATACAGTTGACAATCTTGGTGTTGCAGGCGTATACAGTCTACGGTAATCGATTACCATTGTACGGGCCGTATGCTTTGCCACATTAATAGTTTAAAAAATCGTATTAGTTATCTACTGTTGAGTAAGCTAACGGAAACTATGTTCGAATTGAGATGACATGGCAGGAAATAGGTAGACAATTCTATTTTGTTCAATAACGAGTTTATGTGGTGAGTTCAGTAAGTACCTACTTAATAAGTAAAACAATCATCATCATATTAGCTGTTAATTGATCACTGCTGAACATAGGCCTTATCCATACCACTGGAGAGGTTTTGCCAGTAGTTATCACGTATGGCAGGCGGATTGGTAAACCGCAGTTTGGTTTTGGCGATGTTTTAAGAGGGAAGTTGCACCCATCCTTCGACTATTTAGTTCTCATAATCGCCTTTTACGACGCCCACGGGAAAGAATAGGGTGGTCCATTTCATGTCGGGACCGTACGGAAATAAAACAATATGCATTACTTAATATTGGTGTTATGGAGAAGACAGCATTTGACTTTTTTCTATTGAATAAAATATAATTTGTGAACCAAAAATATTCGGTATTACTGGTTTATATTTTCCTCTATTTTATTCTCTACCCCTCCTAAATAATATATTTTTATTTAGCAACTATGACAGTTTTATTAGTATTAGTTTATCAGCAAATATTAAATAATAAATAAATTTAAAATAAAACTAGCTGGTAGTAGGTGAAGCAAAAATTTTAAAATATACATGTATATCCAACATATGGGCGGTATGCTTGTTTATTACTTTAGTAATATAAAATTACGACTGTGTTCTACAAAAAATGAACTTCATTTATGGCAAAACAAGTTACTTTGATTTCAAAACTAAATACTGATCTGATTTTGATGAAATTAGTTTGATGAAAAGGGAACAATCTGTAAGTATATCCTTTCAGATAAAAAAATAATTTTCCAAATCGGTTTACAACCCACGGAGTTATAAAGTATCAAACAAAAAAAAAATTTTCTTTAGTTTCCAGTTCTTCCAGTTTTATAAACAAATGAACTTTGGCCTATGTTAGTTCTTGCCCAGCTTCAAGCAAATGTATTTGTATAACTGTGTTTCAATTGTAAGGATATGATTTATCATCATCACCATATAAGGCGTTAACTGTTTTGCCAGTAGTTGCTACGCTGCAGGCAGACAGGCGTGGCAGGCAGGTTGGCAACCGCAGTTAGGTTTTGGTGATGTCTTAAGAGGGACGCTGTTGCCCATCCCTCGAACATTATATTCCCTTAGTTGCCTCTTTCAACACCCACGGGAAAGGAATATTATTACTAATAAGCATTCTATACCGGGACCACATGCATGGAAAGGATTATGAGGTGGAAATTAGAGGATATCCACAGAAGATAATCTTTGGGCGTAGCGATGCATGAATAGGAGGCGACACAGTGTAATCTATGTTTCCATGTTTATCCTGTAGAAATGTGTATAAGATGAGATACCTAATGATGGGTATAAGGTACATATTAAATATTCATTATTTATCACAAGAAGGTACAGAAACAGTACGAATATGATTATAAATCTGCGCTCTTATGTAAAACGTTTATTATCGGTCAGTCAGAAAATTCCAATTTTAGAAATTGATAAGTACACGGAAGTGACTCATACAGTTAGGATCGGGACGCTATCAAAAGCAATACAAACTAGAGGAACCGCGTGCCCCTTAGGGTCGATAACAGGTTTTATAGATTAGACAAATTATTGGAAAACTAATCCGTTATGCATAAATGTACGATACTATATTATATTTATTTATTAATTATGCTCATCACAAGTTTGGTGTCAGTTATGGCAGCAATGCGTGATAGTTGCCAGAATATAACAGGTTGATTCGGTTCTTTGATTTGTCCATTGTTCAAAGGTGAAAGTGTACTTTTAGTGGCAACACTCGCTGCTAGTTCACGTTCACGATTAAACTTAGATGAATTGCAGCTAGTGTCATATGGAATATTTACCATAATAGGTACGTTGCAATGTTAAATCCCACAGAGCTAGCACGCACGTAGAATATGTCACTGTGACAATTTCATCACTCTTATCAAGTTCATGGGCATGTATTTAAGTACGTGCACATTACGAAGTGACAAATTCCCATACGTAAAGTTGATAGATCACAATTTCAAATGTTACCTGAGTATGGATAGCTATGAAGATAAGCCTTGTTGCTAGCTTGAGCTTTGCTGAAAGCGTAGGATTGAAATTGATGAAACCTAATTAGCTAAACTATCAAAGTATAATCCGATCTCTCTATTAATAATTTTGATATGAATCAAAATGATTAATAGATGAAGAATTCTAAAAATTCGGGATTTCAATAAAGTTGATTGCAGACAGTTGTAAAACAAAAAGCGTAACCAATCTTCCTGCTTCTATTTTACTAACGTAATAAAATTGAAACAAGACACAGATATTGTAGTTATATGGAAGATATTTAAGAAAAAATAATATGAGGGGCCTTAATAAGACAATTAGATGTTAAAACAATATTTTTTAGAAATTTTGTCTGTCTCTGTGTTTTTTTTTTTTTCCGGTTTCATGCAAAAATCGAATAGACCAAATTTAATGCAGCTTTTATAGTTGTGTCCCTGAAGGTCTAATTTAAAATATGGTGTATGTTTCATTTTAATCGGGCACCTAGAAGTATACTAATGTTTTATACAGATTTCATTGGTTTTCCTACTTCCGAAATACACGCGTACGAAGTAGTGAGCAAAAAGCTAATTTCTTCTATATTTTCAGATGTATGTAAATCCATATAATACACTATAACCTAATGTGGCCCAAAAGGACAAAAAACTATTCGTTGAACAAAGAATGAAAACTGTTACATTGTTTTCATATTATTTTTAAATGCCCATAATAATCCGTTGAAGGTTTTCAGAGAAAGAAAAAAAAAAAAACAAAATTTGTTTAGTAAGTTGAAAATATATCATTATATTTTTTGTATGAATTTTCTTTTTATTGTTAGACAGGCAAATGAGCAGACGGTCTACCTGATGAAAAAGGACTACAGTCGCCCATGAACATCTGCAATACAAGAGGAGTTGCTTGTGCGTTACCGAACTTTTAAATGTTTCTGGTACATTTTTTGATAATATATATTATATAGTAAACGGAAAACTGAAGACGGGACCTCATTCTTTTAATGACTGATTCTGTTTCGTTTCATGCGTTATATTTTTCAAATTTCAAATAATTTTATGAAATGCAGAATAAAGGTCATATACACTCATATAAACTGTACAAAATGCTACAAAAGGCATTTTTACCAGTTGATCTCAATGCTAACAAAATACCACTAAAGAACGCTTTCTACCATTTGTTCCTTACTCTATGGTAACACGGTAGACGGAAGGAAACATTGAAACTGTACGGAAGTTGCAACGATTCAAAAAATCTACGATATATAGAAAGTGTTTATGGAGATATCCATGAGAATTATACGAGTTTGTGTGAGTTTTAACGCGTGGTATGTAGATTTATACACGGCCTAGTGCTTGGTATCATTGCGCTTGTCTATGCGCAAGTCCGAAATGGTTGTCTTTAAAAACAAGTGAGGATTGCGCATAAAACTATACAAGACAAGGCATGCGCGATAGGCGCCACCTCTGTGTGAACATGTGTTTATTTTATATATATCTTTGGGCTATTATCACAACCTGTAGATCTGTAGTCTTGTTAGAAATTTTAGGATAATTGAAAGGCGGACTTTTTACTGGCAGATAAAAATTAAAGAATGCTGTTTATCTGCTTATGATGAAGAGTGTATTCCTTGCCCATTCTCCACAGCTGAAATTGCATTCCGAACTAAATGGTAGATTCATAAAAAAGACGATTCAAAAATGTTTATGGTTACTATTAAGTTTACTTGAATAAAAAAAATATTTTTTTTTTTAATGTGTATTCTTAAAGGGAGATATTTTATTGTGCTCGAATGGAATATAAGAACATACAAAGTAGAGTGGTAATTTTTTCATTCATTTGGCAAAATCTGCAAAGATTAATTGGGTTTAGTGTTAGCTGTAGTGTATAGTGAAGTAATGTAAATAATAAGGGTATTTATTACATAGAAAAATAATATATGATTATAATTTTTTACACATTCCATGTACTTGTATTAAAATATACATAAATAAATATATTACTTCAAACTATAAAAATAATAAATCAAAAAAATAAATATAATAAATAAAAAATAATCTTACTTCTGTTTATGTTATGTTACAGTGTTTGAATTTTATGTACACATAAAACAATGAACTCTATCAAATTAAAAAGTGACAACAATAAATATTAATTTTAGAACATATATTGTTTTAAATTTATCATACGAAATGATAAAAAATATTTTATCACCATAGAATATGTTATTGATCTTTTCACATGTATTTCATTTTATAAATATATAGAAAATGCTTACAATTATATTCTTAGGTGAGGTAGGCAGAGACATTGGGAAGATTGTTAACATTTTGGTTAACATGGGATTTGGTTTGTCTAAATTTCACTGGACAAATTTAAATCCACCAAAATATGTGGCAACTAACACTTTCTCACTGCTATGTAAATTCAAACTTTCACACTCATAATATTATTAGAAATTAGTACCTACCTACAGAGCAGTTTCTATTGTACTGTACTGTACAATTGTTGATTGTTGTTCCTCTAACATCAATCAATAGTTGTCAAAATGGTTTAAAACACTATATACAAATATGTACTAGTTAATATTCATTCATGCAATTGAAAAACTTTCTTGGGAGATTGAAAATAATTTTCAAACCATTCATATTAAATTTGGTTACATTATGATATGGTTTAAATACACAAAGCATTATATGTGCAGTGCAAATAAGGCATATTATATCTCTCTTTATATTTTTTTCATTTAATAAAATAAAGAAACATAAAATAATATAAATAGCAAATTTATTTATATTCATACAATTATATATATAAAAAAAAAACAATTATATTAAGATATACAAGTACATGGACAATGAGGAGTATTAACTTTTAGACTTTCGCATTGCATGGTTTATGATTAGTACTCATGACCATAGCTAGTGTAAACTGATCCAAACATCAAGAGAATCAAGGAAAATTATCATAGTTTATTGAAATTATTACATTAAATTTCATCTCTTACAAATCATGGAAAGTAATATTCATGAAATATCTAGATGCTCTATAGAACCTAGATGTGTTAAATCAATATGCATTCTAATAAATGGTAATAATAAATAAAATATCTTTAAGCTATTAATTTTAATTTTGAATATTGTTAAATTTCAAACAATGCAAGGCAATGTTATCAAATCTATGCAAATCTTCGTATCCTTACTGCATTGCCAAATAAATTTTACTAAATAATATATTGTCACTGGGGGCAGTTAGGTTAAAAGTTTGGTTAGTTTATGACTGAAGAGTCTTCTTTTCATTTAAGAGTTTCCTCTTGTCGGTGCAACTAATTCATGCATCTTCCTCCAACCAGTTCTATCCCAGGCCATATCCTTAACCTCCTTATTCGATAAGACACCTAGTGTTTCTTTTATCTGTCTCATATAGTTATCTGACCAGTTTAGACTAGTCATAATGTAAAGTTTATAAAGAATTTATGATCACTTAACTAATGTCTTATCTATTTTTGCTATGAAGAAAGAATATGTGAGCCATGATGTGAGTCTGTCTGAAGGATATGTAATACACACTACTCTTCAGAAATATCAAATATTATTGGAATATATATTTATATTTAATGTCTGTCTGTGATATTGTTTATCTATATGTCTAGATATTTAGACAGTTAATAATTTCCATGAGCATCCCTAAAATATATTTCTACTAACAATATTACTCACTACAGTTGCAGCATCTATTTATATCCATATTTATGATAATACAATATATAAATAAATTGTATTAGGGTGCAAGTAAATGGTCAACTTTTTTGGTATTCTCAATATAAAATAAATAAAAATTCACATTGATATTCCCATTAATATCAATAAACAGAGGTCTGAACCACACCAAAATTTTAATTATTTATGAGATAGTAACTATATATATATATAGTATTTGTTGTATATTTTAAATCAGAATATAATGGAACCAATTGGATATTTAATGAGATGCTTATCTTTCTTATCAAGAATAAAATAAATCTGATACTATTTAAGATATAGATATATAATATATATTACTATCTTATCAATGGCAAAACTATTTCTTAATAAAAGTTGTCAATCAGATAAACCATCTTCAATTAAATAGAAATATTTCATAGGGTAACATTTTATAAAGTTGTTACTAACCTCTCACTGACATTAGAACATTAATATGAGGTTATATATATATGTAAAGCTTAAATGCATAGAAAGGTGGTGTAAACTTACCGAGCAGGAGCAGTTTGAGTTCTCTCCTGGCATCTCTTTTGTCCTTTCGGAGTTGCCGCTCTATCTCTTGATTGATTCTTTTCTGTTCTTTGGCTTCTTCTGACATGCAGCACTCCATGATTCCTCAGAGCGGAGGGCCGCAAACTGTCCTCGAGCGCGGAGCCCTGTCCTTTCGGCAGGCCTTTCAACCGAGGCACACCACTCCTAGAAATGACATTATTATTACACTCACATTTCACGATAGTTCACGATATAATTCACTGTATCACGTACCAACGCGACGACGCGCGAACAATCATCCGAACTAGAAACTGTTAAATACTAAAACCGACAATCCGGCGGTCACTGGGTGTGGTGACTTATGATCGGTCATATACATAAACGCTTCTGTCAACTGCCGACATAAACACTTCGGAATCCGCTTATATACGACCGTGGAACCTTGCAAAGTGATCGTATAATCTTGTTAAAGTAACTAGATTCAAGAAACCTATGGCTATTCACCACACGTGTTTATTAATAAGATTAAAACTGTGAGCAAACAGCGGATTGATGATACCTAGGTAATCTACTGATAACTAGAACGGCCTATGTCTAGGTTACGATGGATTTGTCAGGGCTCATTACACCAAAAAACAGGCACTGTAGTTACATTTTTAACCTGTTACGTACCCAAATGTATATCCATAGGGCACGATCAACGGTTCCACTTCAATTTATTGCACTAACCACGATTAATCACTCAAGTCATACAACGTCCGCCTCTCAATATGGCGCTGGGAGATTTCGGGCGATGGATGTTCTGCGCGTGCGTTATACGAGTTTTAGCAAATAAAAAAAAAATTAACCGAAATTGTGTGTGGCTTTATAAAACAGATAAAATTATAAAGTAATAATTAAGTACCAAATTTAACTAATCAAATATGAAAATAGCATCAAATTTAATTTTCATGTTCATAAAATAAATGACAGTTTTGAGCTGTCAGTTGTCTTGTCATTCAACCAAAAACGAGAAGTCCGTTGCAAATAATTACTATATTGGATAGTTGCATTTACAGTTGCATGTATAAACATATATTTTTGAATTATTAGACAGTAATATGAATACTCCCATTCACATTGATATATTGCTTTGAAATATCTGTATACTTTTTATTAAATTATGGCTGTATAGCGAGATAACATTGTTCAAGAAATATTTAAAAAACCTTTATATTGTTTATGGTGCTGGTTGTAGGGTTGTATCTACATGGTTATTTTCGTAGACTAAGAATACTGTATCACTATGGCTTGTACTTACTGTAATGAGAATTTATGAATTAGTTCAAAGATTAAACTATTTATTGTGTGATTTCCCATAACATGAAACGCGTGAACAGTCGTGTATGATTGCTAATTATTAAAAAAAAAATTGTTTTATATAACATGGTTTTCTAATCACTAGATAAATTGATTGAAATAGTAATTTAAGTTCCTTAATTGCTCTGGAGAGACAGCATCAATGGTTGCTCGTATGTAACATAAAACCATATAAAACATTTTAAAAATAGAGATTGACATCATAGTATAATTTTTTGTTATCGCAACTGTTTGGTATTCTAATGAAAAACTCCTTTCAATTGCAATATTTTTTATTTTTTTTATATAACCAAATTAACTTTTTGTATTAAAATTATGTACTTTAAAGTGTTTTGGTTCCATTCATGTGTCATTAAACAGCTGTGTTGACCAAAACATATATATATTAAAATCCAAATATAAGCACGCGCTTATGTTTTGGCCAACATAGCCTGTCTCATTAGTGAGATACCTATGGCAGGCAGGCATAAAATTTTTAGAAGCTGAATAAAATATAAGGAATAACATTTGAAAATATCGTGATTAATTCGCCAGGTATTAATTTTACCAAAATGATTTTCTGGGGGGACCGCATGAAGGTTGACCTTTTAGGCTACATTGCTAGCAATGGGATTGCTAAAAAATTGTTAGCAATGGAGACTCATAGACTTAGTATAGCGTATATACTTCATAATCTAAGTTTTTTTTCTAATGATAACGGTATAAGCTGGCGGAGCACCAGTGTGGGACGATAGGTGAAAATGAAAAGACAGGTCAGTTAGCCCATCGTGATGAATACACCTAGAATTCAGCACGATAGTTTCCAGGGGGTATCACTTGGGGGTCGATCTGCCAGGGTATATTGCTAGCAATGGGTCTGGAAGTTCGCATTACTAATAATCCCTTCCCCCTAGTGACGATTAGTAGTTCCATTGCTCGCAATATACCCTGTCAAGTTCACCCCCGCGCGGTACAATCGGTTAAATCCAGGGGTTGTAGGGGGAGGGGGGTGTTTACCATGAAATAAAATTCTGAATTATCGAGCTAAATTTCGTGTTTTCGTTCATGCCGAAATCGGTCCAGTAAATGGACCTTAACATTTTGTTCGTCATAAATTCTATCATAAAAGTCCAAATGAATGATATTTTAACAGTTTTAATATGTAAATAATTTATGTAATAAAAAAATTAATTTGTTTTTCATTTGGCGACAAAATTTCCCAAAACATTTCACAGTAGACCCTCTACATTTGTCAAGATGGGTTGATATTTCTACAGCCGATATTATTAATATAATAGTACAGCCGATATTATAGTTTAATTAGTAATACCACAGATAATATAATACTATACTAGTATCTAGTAATAGTGGATTATTTATATTTACTCTATTACGGCAATGAGATATTTTTTAGTACGTGATATCAATTTGAAAAATTTTCTTTTATGAATATTGTTATTTTATTACTAATACGTGAACATAGTATTAATTTTTTTCATTAATGTAGGTATTTGTAGACTTCTAGTTTGAGTCCTATTTCGAGATAAAACTTTGGATCTGTTTCTAAGGGCGTAAGTTCTCTTATTTGGGATAATACATTGTTTTTGCAGTGAGATCTTACTGAAGTATGTATCTTTTCAACTGTTAATTGTCTGTTGTTTAACACAAGTTTATCTCTTAAAGACTTCGTCCGCCTACATTCATTAATTCCCAGCAACATATTTGAAATGATCTCTTCATCTAGTTTAGGGTAAAGAGGTTTCTTCAGGGTTGGCAATGCACGCGTAATACCTCTGGTATTGCAGGTGTTCATAGGTAACGGTAACCACTTACCATCAGGTGGGCCGTATGCTTGTTTGCCACCTCAGTGGTATAAAAAAAATTAGGTCATCCTACACTACATTTGTGCTTTGATTCCTTCTTGTTTATCGTCGATTGTTCGTGTTATATGACTACTTCAATTGTTCGCAGATTTTTTTAACTATATTGGTCACTTAAACTTTTTTGAGTAATTTTTCACTTCGGATTTTATCACGTACACGTAAAGAAGTTGGCCGTGGGATCTCGTTTAGAATTGGCCATCCCTTTCTTTCTTGTCGTAAAAGGTGACTAAGGAAACTTAATGGTAGAGGGATGGGCAGCAGCGTCCGTCTTTAAACATCTCTAAAAGCCTAATTACGGTTGCTATGTTATTATGTTGCTTATGGGGAAGGCTTATGTTCAGCAGTAGACAGTTAATAGCTGAAATGATAAATGATGACGACATGTAGAGAAACACCAGCTGATGATATGATACATCACAGATGAGCATGTAGTATGTAGCAATCGAGTAATCATCGGTGAAAAAAACAGAGACTGTTGATATGTGCAAGTTATTTAATTTATATAATAGCTTAGGTATTTATAATTAGGTATGGTAGGAAACCATTCAAGTTGAACCGTACAATGTCGCGTGCATGTCCTAGACATGGGATTAGCCTTGAAAAAAGTATTATAGTAGTGTTGCTTAAACAGACTTAGAACAACCAACATGTTATTTTAGAAATCAAATATAAGTATTAATTTTATATGCTGATGTGAATATTTTTCCGAACATATTTGAATTTAACGTGATCGAAGATGTATGCAGTCCTGTTGGAATAATTCAGTTAAATTAAGTTAATGATGTTTTCCATTATCCGTAAGTTAGCTGGAAGTATAAGCAGTTGTGTAGATACCATGAAGTAAGTCACCTGTATAATGTCCAGATTGGTGGCGGCGTGGTTGACACGGTCTTTGAAATTCCTATAATATGGTTGAATTGTGTTTAACAAGATGGCTGGCTCCTCTGTTACATTGATTGGTCTGTTTAAAAGTACGTATTTTCATTGTTTGTAAAGATTTTATGAATACGACGTATGTGATACTCATTAAATGTAATCTGTTTTTTTTTAATTTTTAGAACTCAACATTTGTTTGAAAAAAATTAACAGTTTAGTTTCTTGCATGTTCTTGTAAGTAGATGAACCTGGTGCTCATTCAGAACATAATATTTCATCTGAATTATTCGATAACCCTGGATTTTCTCCTGAGTTATGTGATTATAAGTTGCAGATTTTATTTTTTATACCACATTGTTACAGTGTTACAGGTACAGCAATTTACAGCATTTTCTGGTTTTAAATATTTTTGTGTATTTTTTATATTTTACTGAATAAGGTGTTATTTTGAGGAAGTCCAACTAGTGATATGGTTAGTTGATTAGAATATTTTTAAGTCTGCTATCATTAGTACGCGCGCTACTACCAACATTTATAGAGGGGGGAAAGGGATTGTTAGTAATGGAGACTGTGAATCCCATTGCTAGCAATATACCCAACCAGGTTGATCTTCTCGCGGTTCCCCCTGGAAACTATCATGGTTAATTCCTGATGAATTCACCATGATGGGCTAACTGGCCTGTTTTCATTCTCATCGATCACCCTTCACTGGTGCCCCGCCAGCGTATCCCGTTAGCGCAGGCGGGGTTACCATACCATTTTCACGTATCAAAAAAAAAACCAACATTTATAGTTTGACCACTATTTGTGGAGACTATGGGATTGCCTTTTAGCTATCAATTTCTGACCGTTATTCAGTATACACTTATCTTTATATTATTAGTCTATACATACGTTTCGCTTCTAAATGAAGCATTATCAGACCATAACTCGATCGCTATTATGAGCCTAGTGTTAACTGTTCAGTGGCTAGACTGCTACTTTATATTCTTTGGAGAACAGTCTCGTTATAGATATATATTTATATCATAATCATCATATCAGCCGTTAACTGTCCACTGCTGGACATAGATCTCCCCTGTACCCTGAACCCCCCGTTTTTGCTAGTAGTTGCCACTCTTAACAGGCGGGTTGGCAACCGTAGCTAGGCTTCGGTGAAGTTTTAAGGGGACGTTGCTGTATATTTATATGTAATTAATTGACTACATATTTGGAACAGGTCTAAGATAAAATAAAACTATCAGTACATATTAAAAATAAAATTATATTGGCATATGCTCAATTATCACAATTTTTTAATTAGTCATGTCATAATATCCCCTTTAAATTACTGGAATAAAATATTCAGATTATTTGTTTCAAAAATAAGGTGGGATGGAATATGATTATTTTTGAAAAAAAAACCGCATATGGCTTCATTAGTTATGAATTAAAAAAATAGGACTAACTTAATTTTCTAGGTGTATACATATGTACCTATTATAATTAGGTATTTAATTATATGGTCATCAAATATTTTTTATCTAAGTAAATTGTAAAAATAAGATTTTGGACGAAAGTATTGGAATGCAATAACGGTTAAGTTTATTAAATATATTTGTTTATTAAAAATAGTTTACTATTTTTAATAAATAAATATAATAATAGCCTAATATTTTAGTACTTTGTCATTGTAATACGAATAAGAGATTTTTAAATTAATAGTTACACAGTGTATTTTACACTAATAACTTATTAATGTGATAAAGTACAAAATTTACATAACATACAACATTAGGATTTTACATCATACATCGAAATTACACATATTTCTAAATATGCACCTCGATTACCTCCTGTTTCTATTTAAATAATTATTTTAATTATTTACAGTGATACCTTTGACATAATTTATTAATATTTCAATTGAACACTAGATCTTTAATGAATATGATCATTATTGAACACTATATTGGTAAGTCAGGTCTGAAACTCAAAGAGTCCCTTAAGCTTTATTTATGTCTGATAGCTATATTTATCTTTAGGTTAAGACTACCTCAAAGGTTCTAGACCTGAACAAGCTATAGGACTTATTGTTTGGGAACATCTAGGAATCAAGCTCCTCTACAATACATCGGAATTTCACTACATCACAAAACTCTTTGGTACAAGTGTTAAATTCCTCAGGTATTATTAATGATAGAATCGGCTTCATTTGTACAGTAATTAGCATTTACACATGTTAAAACCAAATGGTATTATTGAATTTATTATAGCTCTTTATACATTATTTTTTAGCATGATGTTTGGAATTTATAGTTTAGTATTTAAATGAAGTCGTAATAAAATCATATTAATAAAGATCTACAATGCAATTTTTTTATCTTTTTTTTTATTGATGGCGAGACAATGATACAAAAAAATGTCGCTTTATTAAAATAACATCTTGTACAGATTACGCAAGAAGTATTAATATAATTATGTAAGTACCTACATTCTTAGCTAGAAACATCAAAATTAAACCCTGTATATAAAAATGTCAACATAAATATAATACATACTCGACTTATATAATAAATTAATCGTATCTATTTAATTACTTAATTAAACCCTAAGCAGTCTTGATGTAACCTTCAAGTTCTTTATTTGGCGGTACCCATCCACCGAATGCCTTTTCAAATTCTTTAGCAACAGCTATCGTCAAATGATCATTACATTTATTTGCTACAATTTGTATTCCAACTGGTAGTCCCTTATTTGTTAATTCTATAGGACAAGCAGTCACTGGTAAGCCCAATGCACTAAATATTGTTAAATAGCCACAATTTAAAAATTTGTAATATATTCTGTAGTGCTTGTGAGCTGGATATGGAAACGTCGGGAATAATAGTACTGCGTTGTCTGATAGAGCTTTCTGTAAAAATACACAGAAAAATAAGATAAAATGGTCTATAAAATACAAAATATTTTAAAGATAAAAAATAAGATAGAATACATGAATAATTAAAATTTTGTTACGAACTTTCGATTTTTATAATATATGCTTTTATATTAGTTTCAGTTCATTTTTTTATTTCATGAAGGAAAAATGAGTTTGCAGTTATGAGACGTAAAGATAGATTGAAATGTGAATAAATTAAAAAGACACAATGTTTTTTTTTAAATCAAACAACTTATAAAACTAGAATATGTACAATATATATTTACCTCAAATTTACTTTTAATTTCATCAAAAATGGTAAGTAAATTTTTGTAATAACTCTTTGGCAAAGCATCGAAAAATTTTTTCAGTGGGCCGTATGCTACGCATAAAAAGTTATGATTGGACAATCCGAACATTTTCTTTAGAACGTCAGGCCACATTGATATCCATTTTTCCCGGTTCTCTGGATCCGTGTAAATATTACGAACATCTCTAATGTTCAAGAGGACTCTGATTCCTATTTCCCACATATGTTCGATGTTCTTAATTTTAAGCTGGAAAAAAATTATATACACTTATAAAATGTGATAGCAGTAGCATTTACAAAAAATGTAATTCAATTCTCATACTATTCAAATTAAAAGATATTTAATTCAGTAGGTATTTAGTATTTTCGTCGTCATATTGTGCCCAGCACCTTTCTTCTATTATTTATTTAACATTACCTCTTGAACTTCAATGTTGTATGTATTCTTTATATAACTTTTAGCTCTGTTCATTGCGTTCTTAACATCGGATCCAATAGAATTCGATACATTACTTCCATCACCTTCCATGTAGTAAAATTTTAGTTTTGTTATGTCTACCTATAACAATAAATTTAAATTATTATTTATCTTATGTTGTCCCATTGCTGGCCAATGCACTCTGGTCGAAACGTCGAGATAACTTAGGTAAATTACCGTAGTTTACCTAAAAGATCGCATTAATTCCTGTTTCTTACAAATCATGAATTTGTAAGAAACAGGAATTAATCAACGAGTGCATTATCAGTACATAAATGATTCATCATCATCATCATATCAGCCATTAACTGTCCACTACTGAACATAGGCCTCCTTCTTGGGAGGTTTTGCCAGTAATTGCCACGCTTGGCAGGCGATTTGGCAACCACAGTAAGGTTTTGGAGGGAGTTTTAAGAAGGGCATTGCTGCCCATCCTCTGACCATTAAATTTTCTTGGTCGCCTTTACGACACTCAAAGGAAAGAAAGGAATGAATCAATAAGATATTTTTATGAATATATTTTTAAGCTTACAGGTTTATCGAATGGTACATCAGGGGCTCCAGGCTGTTTCAATACTTTTAAAAGTAAAGATAAGTCCTCAGCGTAGCGGGCTATAGGACCAAGTGTAAAATACTCTTCGAAATCTGGATCTAAGCAATCGGGTACATGACCTGGAATTAAAATTAAGAAATTTTCAATTAAACATTTATTAAGCACAGTTATATTAGACAATGTAGCTACCCCGTTCTTTTCTGTAAGAGACGACTAAGGTAACTAAATGGTAGAGGAATGGGCAGTAGTGTTCCTCTTAAAACATCATCAATGCTTGATGGCGGTTGCCAATCTGTCAGTCAAGCTTGGCAACTACTGGCAAACCCCCCCAAAGGAGGGTGGCCTAAGTTAAGTAGTGGACAGTTAACGGCTGATATAGTATATAACATTACATACAGCTTTTACTGTTAAGTAGCAGTAAAAATGTCAAGTAAGTGTACCCGGTTTGTGTCAGAAACTTTTAGAAAAATAACTAAAATCCCTCTATTGAGCAAACTTGACAAAAATGACCTGAACATTCTCCAATTAGTTTCATGCTTAATAAATCACAAATATACCTATATGTAGAATACTTAATTAAAAATACTGCAACAGTTTAATATCTGTTAATGGTTTCATTCCATTTTTGTGAACGAACATTCGATTTACTCGTCCAGATTATTGGAAACCAAAGTAACCCGCCCCCTAGGTGAGTTAACTGCCGAAATAACATACTCATTTTGCTAAACTTCCAATACAGATGATAACAAAAAACATTTACCTGCTACAGATGATAACAAAAAATATTTACCTGCTACTGACCACAGTTTAGGTGTGGGCTTATGACCAAATATTCCAGTGAACATGGGAGGAAGTCTTAGTGATCCAGCAATATCCGAACCGACTCCCATGACTGAGGCCGCTGACGAGATCAATGCCGCCTAGAAAAATTAAAAGGGATCCTAATAGAATGTGATTAAAATACATATCAGTTGCTAAACAGCAACTTTAGTTAAGTTGTTGTTAAGCATAGCAGCTGTAGTACTCTGTAAAGAAGATAAACAGTAATTGTAATTTGAAATATCTCACTACTAATAAAGTAATTAACATATAATCAGCTACTAATATTATGAATAAATTAACACATAGTTCCGCTAATTATCGTTTATGATTCAACTATGAAATTAAAAATAGTAGCATTTCAGTCTGTTTTATTTATGTTTGTATCAACAAGTCATCATTTGGTTTGATTGATTAAATCAATTAAGAAAATTATTATCATAATATAATAGGAGTCCGTTATTTTTAGATTTTTACCCTATATCACATTTTATTACCGATATTTGTATTTGTGGTTATAAAATATATATTCAATTATTCGTACAAAATGACAAAATGTAGCTGATAGAAACGATTAATTACTATAAATCGAAATTACGAAACAAAATAATATATAGTTTTCGACATGGATGTGAGGTAAAATATTTGTGACACAGATGCATATCGAGATGACTTTGTAAATGTTTCATCTTGTAGTTAATTAAAACATCAGTATGTATCTATCAGTAATGTATGTAACATTAGGTATAAACACTAATTACGTGTAATTCAATCTAGAAAATGCACATGGTGTTATTACCTATACTAATTGTTAACCATCCAGTGACTATCCGCTAAATTGCTATTTATTGGACTACTGACAGCCCACAGAATTGTCCACGTGAAATAAGTTAAAAAGATAATCTGTGTTCATTGTAATGTTTATCTTTGCATCAAACATTCAAATTCGATCAACCATTTAAAATTTAATTAAAAAAAAGGAGAGAATAGCTAATTATTGAGCGTGATTGTAATAGAAGTTTAAAAAACCAAAGATCTTTCTTTTTTGAAATATTAGCATTATAAAATATATGTATTGTTTCAATTATAAAAAAGATGAGTGTCTGTTAAGTTTATATATTTTTAACGCAACTTAGAAGGAATAGCAAGCTGACGGCTCACCTGATGGAAAGTGGTAACCGTCGGCTATAGACATGATCATTCTAATAATATCTACCTCATTTTAATAGTATTCTCTATAAATTATAAAAAGATTACATACTTCGCCACCAGATGATCCACCTGTTGTTCGTTGTTGATCATAAGGGTTGGTAGTTAGTCCTAATACATTATTATATGTCTCCCAGTTCATGCAGAGTTGTGGAGTGTTTGTTACAGCAATAGGAATGGCTCCGGCTGCTCGCGCCAATTTTATAATAGCTGCGTCTGATTTAGCTGGGTTCCTGTATGGGTATACCGTGCCACAATCATTACTCATACCTGTAATTGAAATAATACTAGAATAAAAAAGATGTAATATAAATAAAGTATCTAGTATAATTAGTTATTTAATTAGTTGCATCGACATGAGGCAACTCTTAAAAAAAGTACCATGTGTGTGTGTTTTTTATGTATGTCGCAATGGAAAAGAATTTTGTAACAACAAATATGACAGCACCTTGCCATGGACACCATAGATATCAGTAATTAATGTAAATTACTATATCCCGCTCCTGAAATTCAACGTGTATTTGAGATTCTACAGAATTGGTGGTTCACTGGGCAGCCTGTGATCTGTTTTTAGAGAGCCATCCAAAAATTTGATCCAGAAATGCCATATAAAAGGTACTAATTAACTTAATGGGAGTATAATTTATATTTCTAAGATCTTAGAGACAATATATTAATCCTCAGGAATGGTAAGGGCTACTAATTTTCATCATCAGTTTGTTTAAAGATTATAAAAATGTACATTCTACAAGATGGACCTGTTTTCAAACTTCTAATAATTGAAATATGCATTTATAATACAAGGTATATATACATCAAAATTACTGTCTAGATGAAAGACAGGAACGCAAACTTCAAATGTAACTGCGAAATATTTAATAACTTATATCCTAAACTGCACTTGCACGGTATGAAGTAACTAGATGGTGTAATAAAAATCAGGTGCCTTAAATAGTTACATAGCAGCTATCTGATTAATTAATTGGCATTCAACTGGATGCGGCCAACGGCCACGGTTAATTATACAAAATGGTAGTACCTAAGGAAATTACGCAGTGTTTTATGATTGTAGTTTCTATTCTTACGTGATAATGATTCGTAAGTTGTACTTACCTACGTAGCATAACAGTATTGTACGTATTTACCTATACATACTAAGAATAGGATTTTTTTTCTTACTTATATTTATATAAGTTAACTCAATATTTTTTTAGAAATGTCTATCTGTTTATAAATATGTTTGTTCCGGTATTACGCAAATACTACTATATCAAATTGTATGCGTTTTTCATGGTTGTGTTTAAGAAAAATCATCTTCACAACTGTAGGACTGTGTATCCCATAAGAGATAATTAGATTAATTTATCACCTGGTGACATGTCTAATGAGTTCTTTTTTTATATTATACTTAAAATAAACAGTGATGATAATCATCACAATTTCTAGGAATTTCTATGACGATAAGCATTTACAGTCTACTACTAAAAGGCTTTCTCTCAGTTCAAGTTGAAATTGTTTATTAGGCAATTAAACAGATCTTAATAGATACTTTCACAGGCCTTATGCTTTTTGACTCTATTAAATTACAGTCATCTCATTCTTTTTAAAACTAATAGAGAATATGAACTTAAAATTCTAAATTTCAAGCTTGATCTTTTATATTCCAATCAAACCACCATTTTAGTAAGTACGTTAATTGAAAATAAATACTTATTAAATTGATGAATAAGTATTCTTTATTTGAATTACCTTCTACTGCAATGCTTTCTTTTACAGTCATGGGTAAGCCTAGAAGGGGATATTCCTTGGCTAATTCCTCGGCGGATTTGTCTGTTGAAGCTATCATTTTGTCTATGCTTCGAGCTTCTCGTATCGCCGCTTCATACCGAGGCTCCACTATAGCGTTCACATATGGATTGACTTCTTTGCATCTTTCTATGTAAGCCGCTACTATTTCTTCTGATGTGATCTGAAATAAAATTTGTTTGTTTGCTTCAAATATATCTGAATACTTTTATTTGTTAATAGAAGTATTTGCTTGTGGCTAACCTGTTTATTTCTAAGGTTTTCTGAGATCTAATAGTCTCATTGCTAGTAATACACCTTGTCATGTCGACTTTCATGTGGATCTTCTGGAAACTATCCGTTATCACCCATAAATCATCGTATTGATAATTTATTACGATGGTCTGAACTCATCCTCACCTATCATATTAGTGCCTCGTCATCGTATACCGATAGTTGCATCCAAATAGTCGACAGCACAGGCGAAATTACCGATCTATTTACACCCATTAAAAACCCTTATTATTAAAATAAAGAAAATAAAATTAAGGAAAGTGAAATTACGTTCAGAACCTTCATCATTACAGTCGTTAACTGTTCACTGCTGAACATAAGCCTTCTCCGTAAGGGGAGTTTTATTAGTAGTTGCCACATTTGACAGGCGGGTTGGCAACCGCAATTAGGCTTTTAGAAATATTATGAGGGATGCTGTTGCCCATCTCTTTACCATTAAGTTCCTTTAGTCATTTCTTATGACACCTAAAGGAAAGGAAGGGGTCGCCTATTCTATGCCGGGACCACACAGACGTTAAAAACCTTCTTCATTACATATTTGCATTATATATAAATTTTAAGATTTTTTGCGCTATTATTTTTTATTTCAGTCAGTCAGCATTTCAATTCTTTTTTTAATACAGATTCTATCAGTTACGCTATAGGTTCTGTATTACATCTCTAATAGTTTACGTTATTGTATTTACCTTAATAATCGTCCACTTTATGATATCATCAGATGATGTGTAAACATTAAATGTTTAAGACTTGTAAATATGTGTACACTCATTTAGTGGGTCCTTTAATTTGAGCGAGAACAAATTAATTTAAGCATTCCTATAGCGCTTACAGCGCTGTTTTCAGCACTTATATTGGCATATTAAAAATAATTGATAGAATAATAGATAGATAATATTCTTGATATACTACAAATTATTTATACATTATGATATTATATTGAATAATTACCTCTTTATTCCTGATCATCATAGTTAAGGTTGTAGCCGACTTGAACAGTATAGGATTTACGGGTGGTGGGCATTTTCTAGTCCGTTTGATATTTACGAAAAATGTTAGTGGATATACTATGATCGCCAATAGAGACACCATAAACCGAAGAAGTCTTCTTACGAAGCCGTTCATCATGGCTGTCTGGAAATAAATATATGACAAATTTTAATATCTCATTTTACTCAGTGTACATTTTTAAGATATTTTAGACGTATAGGTAAACGGAGCACATATGGATAAATAAATACCAAGAACTCATTCCTATAATTACCACTCTCATTAGTATCTTTACCGATATCATAAATATGAAATTAGTTGGTTTGTTACCTCTAAGATTGATATGCCAATGAATATATTCTAGTCACATAGACGACGTCGTGGATGCTCTAGGTACAATAATAAAAAAGTAATTGATTTATAAAAAATAAACATTAATTAGTAATGATCTAAATTTTTTACTGTCCTTACTTAAACTCTTTTCATGGTTTTTGTCTTATAAACTGGTTATAAAGGTTGCTTGATTCGAAAGACGTCGGTGTACTCGCTGTCGATAGTATAATGAGAAAAGTGAGTATCAAAGTAATAATAATAATAAGAATTGAAAGGGCATCGTATTGTTTCTGACAACTCCAATAAGAGTATAGTTTTGAATTAATTTATCTATTAACGCTGAATTAAGATTTTTCCTATATTTTGAGTTTTTTTATTAATCAGGTTTTGATTTAATCATTGTACGTGGCCAAAACGTAATCTGTCCACAATTTGTGAAGATATCGGGTCACATACAGAACATAATGGAGCTGTATTAAGAACCGCTTCCTTTTTAAACATCGAGTAAGATTTTGAGCCCGCAACAAAAGAAAACTGTGTCAGTGAGTGAGTCGGATTTGGGTCTCTCTTTCACTTTCTCAAATTCACATTCAAAATTATTAAGCCAGCTGTTAGGCATGTGTGTATGAAAGTAACAACACTTTCGTTATCAAAAGTAACCGCATCATTACAAGCTCTATCACTGTTACATAGTTGCGAATTTCAATTTTATAAACAACTCCTAGCTTCAGGTATAAAGCATCTTGTTTATGTACTTTTACTCATTACATTGTATACTAATTCAAATAAAAGTATAGTCATTCATTCTCTTATCGTTATTATTCATGCAGTTAACTTTCTTATTTTTTAAACTTATAATATTTACCTCATAGGCTAATATACTTAATATACATTTCAGGATGTCGATAACTGTAGACTGCATCAATACAATAGGTTTCGCTAAATACGGCGGGTAGACTAAATTGAAACTATTTAAAAACACTTCAACTATAACAAACGTTTGATATATAATTGCACTTATAATTATTAATACAGCCCGTGTGCATATATTGACACTTGCATTAAAATAAGAATTAAATATTTTATTAATCATTTTGTTAGTTATTATTGAGCAATTTAATTATAAACGAGTTTGCGTCCATATCTTTCCGACTAGGACAGTGAACTGAGATCCCGTCGATATGACGTTTAGAATTCACTGTAGGAGGGTCAAACAGATAAAATGGAGATTTAAAATAGTTTACTTAAACAAATGATAATAATATAGAAATAATTATAGGTATTCTACACATTATTATCGGAGATAAATATTAGTTTCAGTTCCATTGTTTATAGCAATGGAAATACTTTTTATTGTTTATCTGTTAATTTCTATAGGATACTTTATGTTTATATACAGTATTTAGACTTTTTAATTTTATTTATTATATTCTCCTATTGACACTAAGTTTAATGAAAACAATAGTTTAATAAGAAGCCGGTTTTTATTCAGTAGATGATTCAGAAGCCTAAAATATATATATATATATATATATGTATATATATTATATAATACTTCAGCGTGCAACTCAACAGCAGAAAAGATTAACTGGTTTTGTGTGGCTGAAGTAACAGGAAACATTACCATCATTATATTAGCCATTAATTGTTTAATGCTGAACATAGACCTCCCTCTTTTGGGCAGTTTTGTAGTAGTAGTAGTTGCCACGCAGTAGCATTGGCATTTGGCAGGCAAGATGGCAACCGTAGTTAAATTTTTTATGATAATTTAACAATTAGTCACACAGTAACTGAAAACAGTCTATAATAAATAAGTACTTCGTAATTATAAATGATAAAATAAATTTTGACTGATTTATTAAGAAAATACTGTTAGGTCAAGAAACACGATTTTATACAAATACAATTTTTAGTTTATTTTAAGTATGTATGAATATATAAGAACAGAATTTTCTTTTTTATAGTTTAACATAACCAATTTAGATTGGTAATAATAATTATGAAAAAGGTAAGGTCAAAGATGTGCAAAATAGTTTATTAAAAATATTTTTAATTTAAAATATAAAAGCTTGGTTAATTTTAACTAAAAAAATCAATATATAAAATGGTTTTCTTTTAAAACCATTTTATATATTGATTTTTTTAGTTAGTTCAGTACAAAATGCAAATTAAAATAGGTACCTCATTCTTATTTCATTGATTTTAAAATTAATATATGTTCAAATAGGTCATTTTTCATGTTCCATCTCTGTGGCTGTGATTGTTTACTACTCTTGATTTTCTACCTGCTTGCCATAAATACCAAGGCATTATATTTCTACGCTACCTGCCTGCCATGCGACAATAATGCCAACATTCATACATGAAGTAAATTTGAAGCTTTTACCTGTAACTTCGTTGTGATCAAAATATTTACTGACCGGGATCAAAGGTAGCCTATATTTTATATTGATTGGCAAAGCGGTTAAGGCGCTATAAGGTAACAAAGAAATTCACTTTCACATTTATAATATTAGTGAGGATGATTTAAAAAATTTACAAAACCATTTTACATTTTACAAATACTGGATATTTATATAAAGTATTACTGGATTTTATATACTTATAGTACATTAATTTACATAAATAAATTGGAAAAATAACTTATTTAAAAGTATTTAAAATGCAAAATAGAAATAGGTATTTTGCATTTTGTATCTGCATTTATAATGTATGTATTTTAAATAATACACATTTCTGAAAATAATGATGATAACAAACGTATTTTATTAGACACGTCTACTTTTTTACGTTGTATAATAATGATAACTTTTATACGTTAAAGTTTATAATGTAGAACGGAACGTACCTGACTGCCTATAATTAACATACCTATGTTTTCGTAATAATAGTGGCCTTATGAGGTTTTGGGGTACTTTACTTCGCGAGGTCTCGGCGGTATTTTAAAGTCGAGGTAATTTAAATATATTTTAAATAACCCGGTCTAGACGTCCAAATTAGGCAATGGAACAATATAACAAGTTCTTATTCTTAAGTCGTAAAACCTGAAAAAAAAATTTAGTGGTGATTTATTTATTAATTTAGGATGATTATCGATCTTAGACTCGATCGTAAACCCGGATAAGCTGAGAGATGTGGGTTTGAATCCCATGGGAAGGGCGGGGGGAAGGGATTTTAATTAATGCGGACTATCAGTCCCATTGCTAGCAATATACCCTATCAGGTCGAACTCCACGTGGTCCCTCCTGGAAACCATCGTGCTGAATTTCAGGTGTATTGGTGTGTATTCACGGTAAGCTAACTGACCTGCACTTTCATCTCACCTATCATCCCTCATTGGTGCTCCGCCAACGTATATCGTTAGCGCAGGGTTATCATTCCATTATCATCCATTAAAAAAAATCCCATCGGAAGTATCGGTTCGAACTGTCGGTAAAATTATTCAATTGAATACTTACTTATTACTAGATTTTCGAATACAGAGATATGCATTTGAAAATATTCTTAAACATTTTTGTATTGTTTAGATCAGTATCTAATTTTACCTCTAATCTCTGATACACGATAGGTATATATGATATCAATTTCTATAGATAATTAAGTATGATTTATTTTTAAGGGTATAGATAATGTTATTCTTTACTTACCATACTTTTGTACGTGATGATAAAGAAATAGCCATTTGGTCACTTTAAAAGTAATTTGATATTATGATAACAGTGCACGGACTTGTTGAATTATTAAGTATGATTTTCAAAGAAAGTGACAGTATTATATGTATTTTTTTTGCGTTAAATCTTGGAATATCGGCTTTGCTTGAATAACAGTGCATTAAATAGACAAATTGCCACTAGGTATTGTACAAAGGTACGAGTATAAAGTCTGGTAATGTTTGTATTACCTACCTGTTTATTTTAATAAATAATAAAAAAAAATTGTCATCCTATTCAGTTTCTTGGGAAAGGTGTTTAGTTTAACGAATACTATTAGTAGGTTTCGAGTTTGGATATTTGGATTTAAAAGTTTCCTGGATAAGATCGCTTTTAGTGGTAAGGCCGCCCATTGTTTTCTTAGTGTGACTTCTTCTTGATTTTTTTTTTGTATTTCTATCTTAATAAAATTAAAATACTATTGTAATTTTTTGGAATAAACAATATAGAGTATTAACTGTGTACCTATATTCTTTGTCCTCGTTATTACTTTAGCTAATAAAACAATTCTTACTTTTTACTCATATTCATAATCTAAAAGTCATTTTGTTTGTTCACCTCTCGACCTAACCTATAGACCAATCATAATGTAATTAAATATACACGTAATGTTTGACTATTTTCGTCTCGATCAAACAATATCCCAGTCACGAGGACGAAGTTGCGGTAAAAACTAGTATACAATATAGTCTTGTGGTTTATTTAAGTAGAAGTAAGCGTAGGTACGCTAGCATTCCTCCATGGCCATTGTACCGTGTGGATGGAAATAAGTAGATAGGTATGTTACGAAGTTTGTTGGCTGTGTGGCAATAGAACCTTTGGTTGGTCAAGATGACTTAATTGCGCCACTGTCGGCGTTTCTCGACTTACTTGAAGTTTGAAGCCAGATTCTTGGTTTGTTGATAACATACACAAGTAAGTATTTAGGATTGTAAGTCCATTGTAGTGTATATAGTACATATATCTATGTGGTACGTACGCAGGTGACTATGTAATATATGTGTGCACGAGCATAGAATTTAAAATTTTTATGTATAATATAAAAACACCTTAGATATATACTTATTATTCTTATATATTAGTCCACTAATCCTTCTTGCTTTAATAATATTATAAACCTGCGAGCTTATTAGTTTGTTTAGTTACATTTTAACGTCAACCAATCGCCATAAAATTAAGCATAGCTAAGACATGTCGTATTAAGGACCAGGATGCTTTTATGAGAGGCCTTAAACACCGTAAACTAAAGAAGTTAAAATGTATATCCTAGATCTATGTTATTACTTTATAATTTCTCTTACTTTCCTGGTCTTAATTGCTTATTAATGTTTTGATTTTTTAGGATTCCCTAATAAAAAGCATCCTTTAAAAAAACTTATGAATTTTTTCTTCATTTTGATAATGAACAAAAAAGTATAATTCTTGTATCCACATTTTTTTAAATTTGATATAGGTACATATAGTACAGTTGCTTAGTATATGGTATGGAAATGGTATGTTACTTTTTATCTCGGTCACTGAACATATCCCGCTTACACGGACGAAGTCAGGTATTTTTTTAAAGGGTGAAAATAGAATGACAACTCTGCCCGTGCTATTGGTGTGCTCTGGCGGGGCATCGGTGCTGGATGAAAGCAGGTCAGTTGACTTATCGTAATGAATATAATAATAATTAATCATACTGATTTCCAGGGGAATTGCTTGGAGGTCGACCTGATAGGGTATATTATATGGGGGTTTTTAGACCTTCATTACTAATCCCATACTCCTCAATACCAGGTAGTATCTTATATTAAATGGGTTGTTGTCCATATTTTAAATTCTGTATGGTCACGCCGCGATATTGTTATGTGCACTACTCAAAGGTCATGCGATTTATATCCTTGAAACCGTTTTGCCATATTTCCCGCCGCAATAAATTTTATACTACATATATTACGTAAATTAATGCGATTTCAACAGTTAGTACTGATAGTAAATACCAGCAAACACGCTTTACTGATTGATTTCTATATAGTATTAGGTGTACTATTGCATTAGGGATCTACTGCGTATACGTATTAAGTAATGAAACTTAATTTCTGTAACTCTGTATTTGATGTTATTAATATTTAATAAGATAACATATGAATAGAAAAAGAGAAAGGCAATTATAAAAAACAGGCATTGTAATGAGCTGACATTTAATTTTGCCAGAGGATGCTAATTTATCGGATGAAATTAATATCCTTATCCTAATTAAAAAAAAAAATCAAATGCACTTAATATAATTACAGCCAGTTTCATTAATTTTTTCAAATAGTCTCTAGATGCAATTACACAGAAGAAAACGCAGTCCAAATTAAAATCGAATTATTTAAATAATCCCATTGGAAAACAGAATTATTTTTTTGTACCAGGACATCTATATTTTTTTATAGGAATCCCTATTATTGGGGACTCAGATGTTATTTTTT